TGAAAGAAACGAAACGTGTTGTGTGCAATTTCTTTACTCGAATAAATATTTATATTCAAATAAAACCAATGCGCCAACGATTTGTTCACAATTTGTTCGAATCGAGAAAATTATACGATCATACAATTCCAACTTGAATTATTAGTAAATTTGTAATTATATTTTTGTTAAGTATTACCTATATATATATTATACTTACATAATAATATAAGCAGAAGGGATAAAACCAGTATGGCCACACAAAAGAAAAATAAGTCCTCGTTGTCAAGCGATTGGTACACTGTATGGGGAAATAAGTTTTTACCTCTTATCTTAAAATGTTATTGTTTTTTTTATTTCAAGATACTGTTATCATTGATCTTATCTTATCACCAAGATACATTGAACGGTATTTTTTTCTTTTGACTAAACAGACTGTCTTTAGCCCTACTGTTGGCGTCAAAAGGCACTTTCAATTTATTCGTTTGAAGTTATTCGAATAAAAAAATTATCCGAATAATTTTCACTTGAATAATAACACGTTATCTGGATGATTGTTCAGGTAACATTTTATTCGAATATAACGCGCAACTCTGGCTGTGTGATTTTTAATTTTACAATATTTAAACAATGGTAGACAAATTATTAACAATACAATCGGGCAAGGTAGTGTATTGGCTCGAGTCGAGTCATGCCGATGAGTTGTGACGAAAAACCGTGGTCAAAAGTATACTTACGGTTTTTTTTTGTTTTTGTTTTACTCGAATTGTTATCTTTGTCGTATCGTTAACGTAATATATACTCAGTGTCTAGTTTGACTGTGGGCAAAATTAGAATGGAAACGACGATAACCGCCATCGATCAGCGCAACAGATTTGCATTATCGTTTGGAACAATAAAAAACGCGGGCAAGCGGACCCATTAAAAAAAATCATAATTAATACCGCCTATTGTGATCGCATTTGTAGGATTTCTCTGCGACCGACCACCTACGGCTGGCCTTCTTTTCTACACAGTGCCCAAACACAATACAGCGATTAATAGATTTTACCGACGACAGCGATTATTATTATTATTATTATACCAAGTTGCCAATGCTGACAAAAGAATATAATATCAATTTTGTAGACTCGAGATTTCAATCGTTCAAACGGCGTATAATTCCGGGATAACTGATAAGAGATTATTGATAACAGCTCGGAATAGATAAAAGCAGTAGGGTCGCTTTCAATGTAAACAAACAAATTGACGGCCATTTTGTAAAGTCTATTTAGTATCATATATATCTATACACAATGTATGTAGATGTGACGTTATAGTGATCTTCTTGAGGCTACCTTAAGAAGATGGCCGCCGCGTTTTCGTGCGATAAACGTCTTCCCTGTGTTAATTTTTATCAGTGTCCGGGGCCTGATAAGAGTATCAGCTGATAAGACATAATTGATAAGAGACGGAAAAATCGTCAAACACTACTTTTACAATTTCCACTCAAAGTGTACAATCGACAAATTGTAAGTGATATTATCGTGTTTTATTGTGCGTCTCATCTAAATAGGTAGAATAAAAATTCCATCGTAGCTGTTCCGCGTTGTCAATTCCATTATTTATTAATTATTCGTTTATGGTAAACAAACGTGTTTACTTGATTGACGACCCAACGAGTAATACTCCTCGCGATGATACACAATACTATTATGTACATAAGTAAGTAATATGAGCTATTAATATAAATTGCTAATCGTTTCGAAACAATAATAATATGTTTAGGCATAACGTTAACACACGTCATTATCGTTGGAATTTCAACAACACAATACCAACAGACTAAGCTGAAAACAATTATTTTCTTGTCTTTCAGTGAACAATGTACAACGCGTTTATTTATTGAAAAAATCAGTGTCTCTCAACGTGTCTTACATTTCACTGTTTTAAGTAGGATAAACGGCTGTCTTAATAAAAGCACTTTCAAAAAAAAAAAAAAAAATACTAAATAGGTAATTAGTTTATTACATTTTAATTAATCGGAAAATAATTTCATACGAATAAAATATTTTAATTAGTTAATAAGTTTTTTGATTTGTTTTTTTCGTCAATTAATTCAACTTTGGCCGACTCTTGTCACAATAATATGTCGTTTATAAATACTGCGCTGCGCAGTTAGCTGTAAATTATTAGTCATTAGTGAGAGCATGTATACTGAAGTACTTAGTATTAGCTGTTAAAACATCTAAGTATTCAGTAACACAAAAAAAAAAAAATTAAAACGGAACGCCACACTACATTAGTATGTGTGTGCATGGAAAAGACCATAAATAGGACAATTTATTTACTTATTACTGTTTTGACGTTATTCAAGAATCTTAATTAGAACATTTTAATTTATGTTTGTAAACAAACAAATACACCCACAAATTTGTTCTTAAATTGTCGACTTAGAGTTACACATGTTTCTGCAGTAGGGGTGGTTTTAGAGAGGACATATACAATGCATGTCTTTCAAGGATAATATTTTTTTTTCTTCTAAAAATCTAGAAATATAAAATAGTTGAAATGCTTGTAATAATGTGAATGCGCGCAGTAACGAAAAAGTTCTTTAAAAATGGAATAAATCGATAGCTGTTTTCTTAAAACGGTTTCTGAAAAGTCATTTAGTGACTCAGAAATTGGTCGTTAAATTTATTATTTTTTTTTTACAACCCGACACACAAACAGTATAGATTATGTTTAGCTACCGTCGTCGTCAATATTTTATAAAGCGATTGGAAAATAAAATTTTTGACTAATTGAATAATTTTATAATTTATAGTATGTATAGTTTCTAGTTTATTTTACCGTTGCAGTTAGTAGTTGTACCGGTTCGTGCGTTAATATGTACTCAAAATACAAAAACAAAACAAAAGAAAAAAATGCAAAACACGAGTGAACATAATTTCGCTTTGGTATAATAAAAATATTTACTAGATTCAAAACTGTCAAATCGTTTAAATACTTCCTGTTAGGTCTGCGCGTCATAACGGATAATATTTTTGTATAAACTTTTTTTCATTTTACTAGTAAACGATTTGATGCAATATCCACCCCTACTTCTTACACCCTTCCCCTTCTTGTCTTTGATATTTGTCTTTAAGTCAGGTCTGCACAGTTTTGCAAATCGCATTGGTCGCCTTCTATCTTTAGTGTTATGTTTACCCGTTCACATTATCGCATTCGTCGCCTTCTATCTTTATTGTTATTCTTTTATTGGCTATTATTTTTTTAATTTCAACCGCGCGTTACACGTTTGGGGCGAATGTCGTTTAATAATCAAGTGAAATCTCGTTCGACAAGTTGTTATTTTAATTGGCCGACTACCGGTTTAGCGTGAACAGTTAAAAATTGCATAAAAAAATATTGCAATTTCGAGCAGAATTTTGTTTACGAGCAACCGCGGCGACACACATTTGCAACGGTTGTGTTTTATGGAAAAAAAAAAATGGCACCGGTAAGTTTTAATTTCTACCTTAGACATAAAAACGGTTCTACGACTTACTGCAAATAATGTACGTGCCTATACAGAGTGATCGGTTTAACTTGTTTTCTTGGAATGAGGCGATATTGAAATTTGCATGGGCTTAGCTACAACCAAATCATATACTTGATTGAATTTCAAAAATATCCTCTCCTTCTCCTCTCCTCCCTATATCTACAATCTCTGCAAATTTGTTTGTATTATCACCCTATAATGATCCTAAAAATAATACTACACTTTACACCATTTCCTTCCGTCCTCAATTTTAATCATTAAAAACCTAAAAAAATAACTGTTCAAAACTGGTATTGTTAATTAAAAAAAAATAATAAATTATATTTTGTTGGCTTTATATTTATTAATAAAATACAGATAGAAATTATTGTATATTACTGTTTAATGCTGAAAACGATATTGGCTAAAATGTGTCCAAAAACAAAAAACTACAAAATTAAACAATTCTACAAAACAGAAAGAGTATAGGCCTACTTAAACGACACGGTATATGTATTATTTTACACCTTGAGGTGTGTGTGTGCTGGTATGCACTATAATAGGCTGACCGTGGCTGTATATGCAATTGGAATTATTTATTATTATACTCTTGTGTAGGCAATATGGATGTGTTTAATTTATGCAGACGGTTTTCAAACAACAATTGCGCAATAAAAACTCGAGAAAAAAAACAATGCGCGTTTAGAAAAAAATTAATGCCAGGCGCGTTCCTATCTCGGGTCGTAAATTCTATTTTGAAAACTATTCGTATTTATTTATTTTTCTTTCTTCGTACAGAGTTACTAAATATTTTAGCGCATAATATGTCGAGTTATTTATTTTTAAATAAAGAAATTCTTCAATGTTTTCCTCGAAGTGTCTATTTTGTATGATTAGTTGATTTCTGGTGTCTCTTATCAATCGTCTCTTATCGACCATCTCTTATCAATAACCTCTTATCATTCATCCAGACACAAGTCATAAATATTCATGCGAAATAAGTTTGATTTCGTTCGAAAGTATGTGTTTCCTAAAAATAACTATTTATATTTAAATTGTACAGTTTATTTCAGTAAAACGTGATAACAATTAATACTTAGGTGCATATTTTTTGTGGTTGTTTTTTTTTTTTTTGTAAGTTATGGTCCATATTTTAGAATTCAACATGTTTTTGACCAACCTTCATTAGAAATTATGTATATTATACAGCCTATGAAGTAGGCTAGTTACATGTTGCTCGCTCGCTATACATATATATTATAATAGGCGATACGTTTAATTCTTATTAAGTTGCCACGGTCTGCTGATGTATTTCGGTGTAGACTGCCGGTGTGGTAATTACTGGATCTTCGATTTTTTGCCTGCCCCTCCTCTAAATGCAAATTACCAAACGTGTGTTGTGCATGTACATTGTACACTCCGGTCTGCGGCGTATCTAGGTCTTGTTGAAATTATTGTCAATATGCACACGGAACACGATGTGAGAAAATTCGTTTTCATAGCCTACTTTTATTTTCAGTATAGTCAAGATACACGATGGTAACGATGGTCAACGGCCATAGCAGAATTCCAGCAGCGGTTTCCACCGGATCAGTCTCGGTCGTTTAAATGGTAAAAAACAACAAAAAAAAAACAAAATGAAAACTATACCAAACCGATTATAATAAATTATCTCTATCCCTCTTGCGGATTTTCTCTAACGATTATCGTCGTTCATTATATTGCCGCCGACGGGACAATAAACAATAACAGCTCTTGTCACAGTAATTGAGCATCTTCACTACTATGTTAAAACCCGGTATACATTTTTTGGGGGGGGGACGTTATAATATTGTAAACTTTCGGACGGCCAGTCCGGTCAGCCTAGTTTCGTAAGATTAATTATATTTTGTCCACCATTTTCTTATCCCGGTCGGAATAATATCTAAGTGATAAATACGGTTGCCCCAGTTTGCGAACCTACTTCGAACTGGATCGCCATTTTGGTGGTCTCTATTAATTCACATTGGTACGCGCACAACAAAACTCATTAACATGTATATTGTATAATATATATATATATATATATATATATATATTTATACATTATACACTCACATAAAAGGTGTGCACGTATCCACTGCTGCTGACTGTTCGTTAAAGTCACATACGTGCATGAAATATCGTCCACGACGTCGAGATATTCCGAATACTTTTGTATAGGTGCAAAAAGCAACGAGTGATTCGATATTAATTTAATGTTAATGATTTTCGTAATAATAACACGACGGAAAATCACCACTCGAGATGCCAAACCGATTAACTCCATAAAATGGACCATTTTCAGGACAGCCAGTCATGTGAAACAAGTACGATTGGCAATTTTTTTTAGAGCGCACTCTAGCGGTGACAAATTCCTACTATGGAGTAATTTATTCATCTTGACCACTGAAAATTGTACACTTTTTTAATCTAACCGTGCTAACTATTGTAAGACGCCTAAACGTATCGAACGCTGATAATGATATTCTATCATGTTTGTCTGCGTTGGAAATTGTATAAAACGGAATCTTTTAAAGATTTCCAATTTGTCGGCGTCCGTGTACAAAATAGTAATGATAATTATATAATTGAATCGTGACCTTGGTCGTGCGGTGGAAAATTAATCTAATGGTGTTGTAAACGATGTGCGTTTAACGAACAAGGAAATTATTGTTTTCATCAAGTTGCGTTAAAAAAGAAACCAAGAGAACGGTATGGCTAGATTCTGGTTCATCTTAAGCCGGTAAAAATATTGAAATTCAATATTTCCCTTGACAGGAAAACCAGATGTCTTGTGTCACAAAGGCCACAAGACATATTCATATCAAATAGCTTTTGTCGGAAGATTTACCTTCGGAAGGCATATTTGCGCCTGTGCCAATCCGGTAGTGAACGGTTCAAAACAGTATTGAAACTAAAAGGATCTCTGCTGGGGTTTCTCGTGATTGGGAATAGGAAATGTTAGAAATCAAACTATAACTATAACTGTTCACCACCGTGAAACTTCCTAGTCGTTGGTTTTCCGGCCTAATCGTTTTTGGGTTTTGTATCGAAAACGATCATGGAAAATGTTGCGCAACCGACAAAACAAAAATACAATTCAACTCCTCGTTTCGGTCGTGAGAATCTGTTCGTGGCGAAAATGCACTCATCATATAAAGTCGCAAAAAAAAAACCTACCTAACCGAAAGATAATTTCCTATTATGATAATTTGCGCATTGTATTCAAATAAAGATGCCGCGTTTTCGCACACCGATTTGTAATGTTTAGCTATAATAAATGTAAAATAAAAAAAAATTAATGATGAACTATCAGCTGTCGTGGCCACCATTGCCAGAAGGCAGGTCACGACAATGTATTGTTCAATACACTATCATCCGTAGGTACTATAGGTATGTTTATTGTGGGTACTTACTATATTATACAAATGGAAATTACTATCATCGCGCGCATCACATGGTATTATGACATAACGCCTGATGTCCTAACCCGGGACATAACGAGAGAGAATTAATTACTCCTAAATTATCGTGGACATGGCGATAATAATTTATATATTTATACAATTCTTTCTAGCGAAGGTCGAAGAAAGGGAAATAAAAAATATACTCATCACATTATCCCAGTGTTATCTATCGTCCACGGGATGCATCCAGCGTGTCCAAATGTATACTAATTCAGATAGAGATATACTGATGAGCAAGCGCTTGCCCTGACTCAACCGGTGTATAGTGTTGAATAGGAATATAAAATTAAGCTGTAACCCTCGGGTGCGTGGATAATAGTGTTAAATGATATATTTTGTAAAATAGTTTGAATAGTTATACAAAAAATATGAAATGTGGTGCTATAGAAGGATGCAAAAGAGAAGCAGATCACTGTGGAAAAGTATAAAAAGCGAAATGAATAGGTAGACCATATTCTCAGACACGGAAAGGGTTGCTTGGACTAATCTTGGAAGGGATGGTTGATGGAAAAACCCACAGAGGAGGACATAGATGAGCTCGAGTCTTATAGAAGATCAAGAATGGAATTCATACCAAGGAGAAGTTATGAAAATAGATTGAACGAATGAAAGTGTTAGGGTATGTTACATAATTTAGCAAAATATTATAACAGTTAAATGCGTGTTGGGCTTAAAAATTTAGTATCCACAAGTGCGGATGAAGTGGAGAGGAGTTGGTAATTATGGGAAAGTAATAATTCCTGGAAAATTGATAAGAAAATCAGTTGATACGAGATAATTGATAAGGGACAAGCCGATCAACACCCAATGTCTTTTCTTTGTGGGAAACATTTTATAGCAAAAAGGTGCATTGTTTGATTCCTATTTATTTCATATGTATCGCCCGAAGGAAAATCATTGGATCAGGATCAATTATCGATTTTCTCTTATCACCATTCCGTCATCGCTTATCACTATCCCCACATTGGTTTTTTTCAATGAGTCAATTGAGAAGGAATAGATAAAGATGAATTGTCCAACCTTATCACTTTGCTATCCCTTCCCCCAACCTCCTCCGTTCTCCTCTTATCCCACCTGTTTGTGTCACAAAAGCATAACTTTATCTTTGTTATTCGTAACTTCTTAACGATTCTACTTAATACAAAATAAGTATGATAGTGAAACCATGGGATAAATCATTGTGGTCCAATAATCAGAAAATGTTTTAACGGTTTCCCGAATCTATTGTTTCGTCCTGACTCATATTTAGTGCATTATCATAATTATTAGATAATAAAATATTACATGTTGTATGACAGATATACTCTTCAACTTGATCTATAGCACATGAAATCATTTATTTAATGAATCATACACTTAGTGTGTTTGATGAACGATGACGTGGACAAACCACTAGAACAATCATTATTTCTACAATCATTTTGGGTTTTTCCAATTAAAATTATTATAATGATAAATAAATATATAACCTCTCCCAAAACAAAAGAACAACAACAAATTATTAAACTAGACCAAATTAGCGGTTGCTGTTGTAAATATAAATTTAATTTAATGTCTTGAATTAATAAATACATACCTCGTTTAACACATTGTTTCGAGCACTGTTTCAAGTATGAACTCGACACATTCATCCAATTCACACAATATGTACCTATCAGCTTAGTAAAATATATTAATAATAATGAAAATGTTATATTTCATTAAACACATTAAATAGCCATTTTTAATATGCATTTTACGTCAAATAATAGAAAATTACATCGGGAAATTCTTGTTATAAAGGCCAAAATGTTTTTTCTTCAAATCAACAAAAAAAAACAATGTAACCAAAATGTTTTGGATAAGTTTTTTTTCATTATTATTTTCGGTATATCAACTTGTTTGCACAATTCAACATTAGTCCACTCGTAGTCTAACTAGCTGTTCTTACATAATAATAGTTATTATTGTAAAAAAAAAACATTAAAACAATGTCGTCAAATATTATTTTTTATTTACCAATCTTGAGCACAAATCACTGTTATTATATGCGACAAACATTATTGAGGTCAATCAAGTTTTGAAAGAAAAAAAAATATTTATATATTTATTATATTATTTAGTTAGACCTATTTTTTTAAGGGTTCGATGGATTGTTGTATAAATTGTTTATAACAAGGTCTTTTACATGTTGTTTTTATAAAAAAAAAAAGAAGTAAAGACTACCTATTTATTCGTGGTATTCAGTTTCTATAATATTATGTACCTATTATAAAATATACAGTTAGGAAAAATAATACTGTATTGTATATTATATGCGTAATGTATTGTATACCTTATGCACAATTAATGGCTTATATAACTTATCGGCTTACGTTAAGGTCTAAACAATTCACTTAAATATTTTCTTGTATCGCCATAATAAAAGTTTATAACGAAATAAAATTTTACTCCTGTCGGAAACCTTGACAAAAAAAAAAAAAAATAGAAAAAAATAAGTAGTTAAAAAATTGAATCTTAATAATATTAATATTAATCTTTATTACATATTATGTACGTTGGAAACTGCGCATACCATAAAAAGATATAATATATATTGTTTTGTTGTGTTTTTTAATGACTTTAGTCTTAATCATTTTCAATGAATACAACGCCCATTTAATGAGAGAAACTCACTTGGCATTATAAAAGAAGAATATTTATGTGCATTTGAAATATTATTTTTAAATCACTTTTGCGATTTTCCATATTGCTATTTTGCGCATAAACCACGTCTATAAATAATATAGTCGAAAATGGAAACCTCGTCTTAACATCTAAATGAAAAATTAGTAAGAAATAAAATGATCTTATACAAGAAAGTGCTTCTGAGAAACGATTTCCATCGACATTACCGAAAAACATTACCAAAAAGTCAAACGCCTTTCATAGCAATATGATACAAGCAAAGTGTTAAGGATTTAGATCTGAAACTTAAACGGAAAGTAGATCTAGAATGGATTTATGCGATATACAATTTCCCTAAAAATCTGTAGTCAAACTTTTTTTTTAATTTCGGAAAACCCCAAAGAGAGAGGAGAAAATGTTAACGCTTTTATCGATATTTGTATTTTTATCTGTGAACAATGGACCTTTCTTACTTACTCGCTTACTACTACTACTCACTCACGTTTAATACTTTCTTACTGTGCTTGGTTTGGACTGAACTGGTTTGTACCTACTGTGTATACCTACTTGTACCTGCTTTTCTTCATTTCATCGCTTTCAGTTTTAATTACTCCTGTAGACCCGTGACCTCCCCGTCCCCACTATGCCCCCACCCAGCTGTACGGCTTTTGTTATTATTGTAATATTATAAATAATGCATTTTATTAACCGTTTGTACTAGCTAAAAGCTCGCACTGTGATGTTTACATGCTATTACACATATTCTATACGTCAAAATTGTGCAACTCCTTAACAAACAGTTGGTGTGACTGTCCAATAAACGGTTGGCGGTCGGTGACCTGTCGTCTTACGGTCTTATATGTGATATATTTTATACCTAGCAATACTTAGTATTAAGAACATAATAGATTAATACTGTGAAAACGTCTCGGGCTTTCTGGTAGTTGATCATATTACTTTCATTCTGGACATATGAATTATGTCTCTTATCAATAATCTAACATCAGCTATTACATCACAATAACCGATAAAACCATCCTCATCGACTCGTGTGACCACATGCTAGAAACGAAATTATTGTACTAAACATTGTACGTTATCAAATCACGATTTATAATAACCCAACCTCCTGACCTAGCCCATACCGGTAATGACCCTTTGACTGGTTGTAGTTAGATTGGTTGCATGTCAAGCTATGAAAAAACGGCCATAGGAGTTTTTGTATAATAATTTAAGTGAGTGACTGCTAGCGCTCCTGGTGGATAAATCGTGGAACTTATTATCGTGGATCTTTCACTGATAAACTGGCTGTTATCACAAACGCGACCGAAAATAACAAAGTTGGTCGGTAAAAGATAACAAGTTCCACGATTTGTCCACAAGGAGCGCTAGTAGTCATCGACTACTCTTGTAGCCGTGATAACAATCTATAAATTCGGTGAATTTTTTTTTCCTACCGGTGGTTACTCTGAGTTGAGGAGGGCTTTTGATTTGCTTGCGTTTTCCAGCAGTGAAACAAGGAATGCAGTGCGCACTGTCAGGTGGTTGTACAATCTGTGCCGTTATCACATGTGCGCTTTTTTGGCAGTTTGGCCAACATGTGAATTTCAAATAGTTTCATTGTCATTTTTGCGTTCCCATCTATTCTTCGACAGCTGCCGGTGGAAACACTCGACGTGGTCGTCCTCTTCGGTTAGGTTCGGTATTGATAAACGATTGGCGGTCGGTGACCTGATATTCTTTCGGGTACAATATTATAATATCAGTATTATTATTATACGCACACCTCGGGCTAAACAAAAAAAAAAAAAAACAACCTAGCCGAATTGTTATCCGAAGATACTTGCTTGGCCGCCGTCGCAGACTTTCGCTTTTCTGCTGAGCTACACACTGTCTATAATGTTGTTTTTTTTTTTTTTTACACGGTGTTCCACATATACTCTAAGCCGCGAAAACGATCACACACACACAACGATAAAAAGATTAATCTCGAGAGACGACATAGCCGAAATGATATTTTCATTATACTTGTTATATTTTTCTCTCATAATGTTTCCTCTCATAAATGACGTCCAAATCCGTTTTTACTCTCCATTGTTCGCCAAGGTGTGTTGACCGCGTGTTTCCCGGTGTATCGCCAATACGGTCCAAGATTAAACGGGCGAAATTTTCATTGTAAACAAATGAATAAGATTGGTTTTCCTTTTTGAAAAAAATCAATGTTTATGTTGATAAAGTTATGAAATCTAAAAAATTGACGATAAAATGTTAGTATTGTTTAATACTGTAAAACAACACTAGCTAGAATGTCAGCAAAAAAAAAAAAAAACTATAAAATTAAAATAATTTTCAAAGAATACTGAGAGTTTTACGTTGAAATGATTACCCTGAAAAAATCTGTTCCAACATGTTTGTAATATACATTTAAATAGTAACTTTATCACTAACAAACGAATACTATCAAGAAGTCAATTGTCCACAGATTTACATCGAACCGTTTTCTTAGCTATAATGTTAACACTAATATCTCCTAGTTTTAGCTACCTAGCACAGGGTTTAGTTAAAGCTAAGCCGTTCAAAAATTCTAATCTAATCACTTCTCACTGGCCACTTGAATGACATGGAATCGTTCATCAGTTATTTTTACAACTTCCAAATGTGTTATTCCACACAAACCAGGGCGAACTCCTCTACTCTTAATTTCCAAACGTTTAAGTCTCAGAAATGAAGTAGAAAAATTATTTGCTATTGCTCGTTTGAGCAATAATTTTAGTGTTTTTTTGTGAATTGTCAACAAAGTGTTACTTACCTCCAACCGGTCATAATATCGCTGTAATGATATTTATTTGTGTTTAATGTTTTTGAGGTGCGTGCTGAAAAATGTATACTTATCGAACAATCTTGTTTACAGGTGATAATGTGATGATCGTCGTGAAAGCCAAATGTCACTATTCGTCTTGAACCGACCAAGAAGCTAAATTAAGTTCTTCGTCCTAACTGGCGGTCTACCCCCGATGAAGGTGAGAAAACGATACGCTCTATTATTTTTTACCCGTCTCAATAGATAATAACATTTTACCGTTTGTAAATTAATTTTAACTATTAACAAAAAAAAATACTCAAAAAAGGTATATTTTTTAAAAATATATACAGGGTGATCCATTCGATGTAAGACACTCATTTTCTCAAAAAATATAAATATTTTGTGAATTATTTTCTTTTCAATACTTGAAACATTTCTATCTTTTTATCTCAAACGTAAACTAAGTATGAAATTTTTTTTTTTTTAGTGGGAACCTACGTTTTTTATTCCATAAATATGTAGAAAAAAATTGTAAAAAACATTTTTGCGTTTGAATTTTTAATTTTCATTAATCTTTTCGTTTGCTATGACTTGGTAATGATTTTTATTTTTCGTCGCTGTTTTTGAGCAGGTAAATAACAACAGCTCGTTTACTATTTACTCAAAACGTTGATCTTTGAAATTTAAATTTGTGTCTTACACCAGACGGATCACCCTGCTGATATGATTTAACGAAATAGCAACTGATTAAATTGCACTCATAGCTGTTGTAGTGATTTTTTTAGCTTCGATAAACCATAATAATTGCGGTTCGCGTTTCAAAACCGACTTTGTTGCTCGTATAAATCCTTATTATGTTGGAATAATTTTGCATTTGTAATTTGCGAAGAAAAACGACCTAATTTTAAACGGCACGGACAATCTCAATACGGATTGCGTTATTATTTGTAAAAAAACATTACCCGAAGATTGGCCGATAACTCGGGAACAATCTCGATGTACCATCTTTAACATTATTGTTCCGGTAGGTCAAGTATGACCAAGGTGATAGTTTTTTTCAAAATAAGCTTGTAAAAAAAAAAACTGTAAAAAATGTCGTCATCTCTATGAAACGAGAAACGATTTCGACATATATTTACAAATAACATTGTATATGATATTAATAAACAAGCAAAATAGTTTTAAAATATCCAAGTGATAATAAATTCATTGTTTGTCTCTCTCTTAAATTAACTGAGGCGTTCTCCGGACAAACGTCCCATCGATTGATATGTCTTTTTTTCGGAGATCATTTTAAATGAGCCGCCATAATGAAATATAAATCTATGGTAAACATGTTTGATAATTTTTTGGTTCATTTTGATGTTATTTATTATACATTTGATCTAATTTGTATGTCAGCTGCCGATAGAAACTGATTTGAAAATGCTATGAAGGAAATTTTCCTAAATTCAGCTTGAACAGAACCAACTAATTTTATGACTTTTATTTTTTAAAATATTACTTAGTATAAAAATAATATGTACTTCAATTACAAAAATATATAAAACCAGTATTATATAGGTATAGAAAACAAAACAAAAATTGAACGAGTTGTTAGCAAATTATTCGAATAGGAATTTTCACAACTAAAGTGGTAACGCGTGCAGATAAAAATAATACCACACGTCATCCTTTCCTCCATTTCTAAATGTTAAACTTTAAAAGTAATTATCCAAAACTGGTTATGGACAAGTAATAATTTTCAGCGCATTTGTCTTAGTTAAAAGATTCAATTAAATATACACGTTATCAATTAAGTCTCAAAAGTCGATCGAGCTCTGAAAAATACTAGAAAATGTAAAATATTTAGTAATTTTCAAATATTCTAGAGAATAACATCAACTAAAGTGTTTTCGGAAAGAAAAACAACTACAAAATCGCTAATATTAACACGGTGTTGTTGTTTAAAAATATATTTAAAATAGAGGTAAGAGATTTGTGATAAGAGATAAGTGATAAGAGATTTTTGATAAGTGATGCGTGATAAGAGTTTAGAGATGAGTGATAACAGATCAAAGACAAACGATAAGTGATAAGAGATAATGTATCAACGCGTTTAGGAGTAGGTGTTAATCGTCCGTGACGGCTTAATGAGATCACACGTGTATTGGCGTTGTGAGGTCGACAACAAAAGCGATCGATAAATCACTTTGGACATTTTTTTCCCATGCGCCTGTTGCAATTAAAACGGCCAACGGTAATTATTATTACTGTAATACGAACATTTTATTTTATTTTATCTCGTGGCAATATCATTCATATTGTTGTGTAAAATCGGCAACGTGGGTTGTTGTGCGCGTCCGGGGGGCTAGGCGGCACACATACTCCTCATCCGGTTGTTTTACCGTGTGGTCTTCACCTCAAGGTAAACCTGTTTGCTATTCTACTAATATTGATCTTTTTTTCGTCCCACCTCCCCTCCCCCACCCCCACTCTTCCTGCTGCTCGGGCACAACATTGCAAATCGACCAGAATCCCAAAATTTACGACACGGTGGCAGAAAGTCGAGGGGAACAGAGTTCAAGTGCGAAAATGTCCAAAATGATTTTGTTAAAAAAATTCCACAATTTGTAGGTACACAAAATCCTGTGTTCTTTTTGCTGATACGCAACAGGGATTGAAAGCGTTACCATGTATCCAAAAACGTACACTAATCGTTATTAACTACAACCAAAGTCGATTGAAATGATTGATAAATAATATGCAGAGTTGTACAAGTTCTTGTTTATACGAATAATATTGTTCTAGAAAATAGTAACATTGAGAATATGTTACATTATTATAAACTCTAAAAATGAGAATTCTGAAAAATCCATACTTTAATTTTTCGTGGACATTCTTTATGGTGGTTTATTATATGACAGCTTAATGATTTAATGCCATTAACCTGATAAAAACACAAAATATTCGTCACTTATTTTATAATATTTTTTATTTCGGTTAGCTTATAATGTGCTTTACACCATAATGTCATTATAATGGCAGTGTTTCGAATAACGTGTTAAATATGTATAAAATGCGATTAACAGGAATAAGATTTTCGAGAATACATTTATTTTAATGTGTAGGTACTCAACCGTGAAGTGTATGTATGTAGATAGGTTCGACCATCAAATATGCTGTGGCCAGATTTTCCATTGTTCCCACTGGCGGTTCAAACGTTTGTAAGAGGTAAATTGGCATTGGCTAAGGTTAGAATAATAATTATTGTAAATTATTTACTTAATTGAAATTAAACCGATGACTGTAATAGTATCAATTTTTATCAATATTGTATGTTTGTCCTCTACATAGTAAAAATGCACAAATTTACATAAAATTTCAATATACAGATAACCAGCAGTAGTTAACGGACTACTGCAGGAATCCCACATGAAATCGGTGGCCATTTTTGTTTACAGCATCGCTCATCTGCTAATATTAACTCAAAGGCAGGGTGTATTTGACAAAGTTTTGATTCTGGAAACGGTTATGGATTCTGATCACAGCTGATACAGACGCATATTATTCATTGTGGTAAAATAGCAATTAGATTAACGACTTAATCCTTTTTAATTTCATTAATAAGTATCATTGCCGACATTTTCAATTGCATATAATTCCAGAAACTGGTTTCAAAGCGTGTGTATAGTGTACCATGGCGGTTTCTAGAGGAAGACCGAGCAGCAGCTATTGAAAAGTATAACTGGTGTCGATTACTGTTGTCCTACGATGATGAATCGGCGCGTCTGTGATTCTTCTGGACGACCAGTTTCCGCTTAAAGGTTAATAGTGTGGTGTTTAATGAGAATTTCAATTGCCCTGGCGGTTTTCGGCGAAAGTGCCCGCGATTCCTATGCGATTTCCAACCGGTAACAGCTAATACCGTGCCGTCACTGCGGTCTCGATGAATCACTTAGTCTTCCATAAACGCTGACCGCAGCAGCCCACGGGATAATTTCAACCAAATCAGACCGAAAGAAAGTCACCTTAAAATCCACATCTCCCGAACGCCTTCGCCTTATGCGTTACACGGTGAGCTCACTCAAATTACAACATAATACCTGGTCTTGTTCTGAACCATTGCCAATTGCCAATTGTATCCAGTTTTATATTTTTGTCTACACTCCTGCACAGGCCTTTTTTTTTTTTTTTGATAATTAAACGAGGTAAACATTTTAGTGAATTGCACTTGTAACACCCGCGACGACGATAAATTATACTCATAGGTGTTACAATGAAAAGAACACAACGAAACCCTATAATATGTGCATTTGCCTGCACGGTTTCACCAAAGGAGGTCGTACTATCTACCCCATGCTGCGAGTTGGATTAAAACTGGTGCAGTGCATGTAATGAAAGCCATACCGTTTTAATCATGTTCGATGATAATAGTATTATAGTCTCAGGTTGAATCAATAGGGGTACGATTGTGTGACCCTGGCATACATTTCACTTGTTTACATTAAAATTAATTAACGATATCGAAATATGAAAAAAAATATCGATTTTGATTTATTAAAGTGAAAAAAAAAACAAGTATCAACTACTGTTTCGTGCGAGAAACCTGTGTAAATTCTCTAAAATATGTTTGATTGTTGTAAATTGTAGTAAACTTTATTGTTATCCACAGTTTATTCGATTCTGGGCGGATTTGTTTTTATTTATAATTTTATACAAATGCAAGCAGGCATGGAACGAGGAAAAACATGTAAAAAGAGTGTAATATTATGTAATGAGGAAAACATCAAATGTAATCTTTCTGGCCAACATTTTTATTGATCACAATTTTATTACACAGTAAAAATAAATTAAATACAATAATTATTTTAACTGGTCGATAATTAAAGCTTTAAAAGTAATTATCCAAAAATTGGTTACCGACCAGTAAAAATGTTCAGCAAATTATTCTTATTAAAAAAGTTAATAAAATGTATACCAGTACCGTTTAAGTTTCATGAGTTGATAAAGTGTACATAAATTAAAATGTTTTCTAATCTTGTAGTACAGCAGATGCCAGATGAGTATTTTTACAATGAAATCATAGTCAAATTCCTATGGAATTCCTTTGAATATTTTTTGTATATAATATTACTATCAACATACATACAGTAAAGTGCCAAAAGTTGATCAATGGTCCTTTCCCCAAAGAGGAGTGAACAATTTTTTTTTTGTTTCACTTTTCTAACGTTATTTTGGGACTTTAAGTCTGATTTTAGGTAAATCTAGAGTTGGGCTACAACATAAAAATAAAATTTTTTCGAAAAATCTCGTTTGGATACTTAGACATAGATCAAGCCTGATTGTATCTACCTTAATACTAAAATATTAAATTTAACAAAAGCACACATAAATTGTATCCAACATAATTTTTCATAGAAAAAAACTATTTAATTCATGGATAATATATTTTTGCGGTTTATTGTAATACATATCACTTATCTCTTTTCTCTTGTCTCTTATATCCAACTCTTATCTCCAATATTTTAACACCTATCTCTTGTCACTTATATCGTATCTTATATCTTTAATCACTTATCGCTAATATCTTATCTCTTATCACGCATCTCTTATCTCCAATATCTTATCACCTATCTTTTATCACTTCACTTTCCTATATCTCTTAGCGTATCACGATATGAAATTTCTCTGGGCTGGCCAATAACATATTATCCATGTTAAAGTATACAACTGTGTTATACAACCCTCGTATTGTATTGGCACACAGGTTAGAAATTAACTGTTATAGCTGAAGAACAAAAAAAGAATACTATTTATGACCAACGTGATTAAAAATACTCCGGAGCTCCCCTTGACGTCGGATATATTATTTCCCGGGGCTGGGGACAAAGTGAAACGCCGAAATGTTCATCTTCTGGACTGATTAGAAAATAATGTCTTTTGTACTTACTTGTAAGAAACCGTATAATGAAAACGGGAATTCCTAGTGTTCGAAAATTGATTTTCCTCGTTTTAGCCACCAGCCAACGCCCCCTCGAGCAGCGGATTCGTTTGGAATTCGGTTATTTCTGGCACAGCTGGATCAACTCTTGTTTGGCGTGCGTTGACCCCGCACCGATGCCGAAGATCAACAAATTCTCAATAAACAATATTAATAATAACACTAATAATAATAATAATTATTATTATATTATATTATATAGAAAACTAATGAGTAACGATAGCTTTATTGTGTTCATTAGCCGCCGTTCTGCGCGAGTACCGAGTATGCTTCCCGCGGTTATTACACAACGTTGAACCACCGACTAAAAAATATGACCAGATTTAATATTTTATAATCTCAGTTCAGCGTGAGGAAAAAATGTAAAAAAAAATAATCCTCCTGTTCTACAGTTTCAGTCAAAGAAATTGTATCGAGCATCTGTTATGTTATCATTAACCTTCGTTAATCAGCTGTACTCGTTATCAGAAATTCTTATCAGTTCACGTTATCATTGTAAATAGTGTGTACAATATTTTACTTACTAAATACTAGTAGTCATCTCTACTAGTAACTAGTGTAACCGAAATTATTGTTTAATTATTAGTCACCAATTAATTGTTCAATAGTGATATTTAATTCGTCTTAAACAAAAAACATTATCGCTCAAAAAAGCAATAGCAAAAGGTTATTGTACTTCATTTCTGAGACTAAAATGTTACAATTTAAGAGTACAGGATGTTCATTCTGGTTTGTGCGGATTAATATGTCATTAACTGTGAACAGTAAGCAGTTATTCGACTAGGATTTTCAATGGCTTAGCTATAACCAAACCCTTATGCTAGCTAGTACTAGGAGGTATTGGTATTAAAATTATTTCTAAGAAAACGGTTCGATGCGAATCTGTGGACGGTTGACTTGTCGTTTTTATAACTTGGTGGCTAAGAAACATAGTAATAACTCATAAAACCGCATGGGAAGGTTTGATAGTGATTCAGTCAATTTTTAAAGGTGTTACTGCATCCAAAACAGTGACCGCTTCGATCGTATTTGGGCTGATCTAACCTGGTCTGGTGTATTATGAAACAAAACTGATTACAGACTCAGATTCGCCGATACCCGACAGTGTTGCCAACTCATTTCCCCAATTTTTTCGGTCATGTTTTTATCGAATTTCGAATTTTCCGCTAATCATCAAAATAGGTAAATGTTTCTAGCAATTTTGAATTATTGTAAAAATTGACGTCGACGAAATCGATTTAAATAATAAGTCTTCTTGCTAAAAGTCGATCACCCTGTATTTAGCGGAATCGTGAACTCGCCTATTGGTCGTGTGTTGCAAACACCACTAAGAAGGTACACCGAGAATACTAATAATAATAATATGTCGGGCCCGGCGCATGTGTGTATGATTAGTTTCGGCGACCACGTTATTTCGGAGAACTGTGCCGGGTTTTTCCTGGAAGGTAATAACGATTCCAATTATTATTGTTACATTAGACGCACTTCCAATTCTGTTGCATCTCTGCAGTTTGCTCCGGGGACCGCACAATAGGTCGTCGAAATCGGTGCTCGTTTTTGATTGCCAAAGAAGCCTTTTCATCATACACGGTCGTACCAAATGGTTTTATCGACAAAAATCGTACATGGCAACGACGAAAGTCCCACGTCGTTTTCTTACTTGAGTCAGGTACCTGAAAAAATTGAAAGAAGTAACTTGTAGCCAGAGGAGTTATGTGCACCGTTCGAATAAAACGTTCTATAATTCTTTCATCTAGATAACATAACATTCAAGTTATTCGAATAATTCCAAACACAATTATTCGAATGATTTTTTAAATAGTTTGTAAGAGATTTGTTTAATAGATTATATTTTAAAACACTATTTTGTATTAACATATCTACAAAACATGTACATTTTTTCAGTGTATACTTAAACAGAATTGTATTTTATAAAAAAAAAAACAAGCAAGACATTTTCGTATGAAATTGAGGGGCTAAAGTAATGTTTAACTAAACCTCCCCACTCCCTCAAGTTTACAAGTTGCATCAATAATTTATGTCCTTTAAGTATTTTTAATGAAATTTACATTTAATTTTCTTTCCTAATGTTTTTGTTCGTCTAATAGTTTTGAATAAGTCCTAATTTAAAACTGCAACCAGAGTTGTGCAAACTCTTATTTAAATTTTTGTGAATTCATAAATTAATAAATTGTAAAATAATTATTTAAATATTTATTATTCTATTTATTTTAATAAAATTATATTCGAATAATTATTTTTAAATCTATTCAAACAGAAAATTATTTTAATGTTTTTTTTTACAATTCATTCGAATTAAATTTAATGTTTTCTCTGTCTACAGGTTTTATATATTTTGTAAATGCGGTATATAATTTAAGTTGGAATTATTCGACTAATTATGTTTGAATTATCCGAATATTGGTTATTCAGCTAACGTTTTATTCGATCGGTGCACAACCCTGACTGCTATAATACAAAGTTGGAATACAAGCAAATTATATAAACGTAAAATCCTCTATATAATGATTTTTAAATGTTACTTTCGGTTGTATAGAGAATAAATTGTTTTTTTGCAATTTCAAATAGTTGGCGTATTCAACTGGGTCAAGAAGGTACTGTGTGTGGGTGGGCTAGACCTGCAAAGTTACACCACATTTAATAAAGTATTACTTGTGACCAGTTTTGGATGAATCGAGTGACTTGCCCAATCCTGGCCATAACACGGTGTCCAGACGAAAGCATCTTTTGTGCGTATCACAATGTATTTTGTGGAGGATATATAAAATTTTGTAGAGATCTCGATCAAGGCCTTTCATCGTCATTCCGGCATTAGTTTCGCGCAATCAAATTGTTGCCTTCCCGCGGAGCAAAACGTTTGTAGATTTTCTACTATTAAATGCTGAATTTTTTTTTATAATATATATTCAGCGCAGACGATTTTATATGGCTTTTATGTCCAATGCTAGGCCACTGACGTTAAACCGTCGAGAAGACGTGACGGACCAAAGATTCGCTTGTCGACGACCTGTGGAGAGAAATTTCGGTCATTTTGATAGCGGGCGAAAATAATTTTATTTAATTTTTACTTAACCAGTGCACGTGGAATGGCTATGTCAAAGTTAATGACTGATTATAGAAAAATATGGAATCCACAATGCCTTAACTGATCCGCACAGCAACTGATATCATGGGTTTATTTTAACTTCGACGTTGTAAAAAATTATGAAATAATAGTCTACTTACATTCAAAACGTGTGTGAGATATTCTTCAGACATACTGCTTTCCCCAGAAGGAGTAAGTGAAAACTTTTCTGTATTTTACTATTTCAAGAGGGACTAGAGATTAGATTGAAAGTGTGAAGATCTAAAGTGAGGTATAACATTAACGTTTCCCTTAAAAATGTACTGTCAAACTTGCAACAGGACCGGACAAAAATTAATAACAGCAACAATTTATTTTATAAACAAACGATAAATATGGGTACAAGGGTTCAAATTTCACGCATAGGACCCTAGTACTTTTTCTCAACATAATGACATTCTGAACAAATTTAGTTTTTAATAGGTTAAGCCGTTCGGACGGTACGCGTCTCGTATAAAATATTATCATCCGCTACGGCTGCTGATTTTACTGAATTTTACTCGATTGATTTATTTACTTTTATGCGTGTTAAGGTCATGGAAACAGACGTGAGTCAGGACTTCGAGGACTACTGGAACGAGTACAAGATCATCCAGGAGACCAGGCAACTAGATAGCTATCTGGACGAGGAATGCCCGCCGGAACAGGAGTTCATTGGCGCTCACTTGCAGGAGGGCGCAGTGGAATCCGAATGGCTGTCGTCTGCCGGCCTAGCTTTCTTGACCGAAGCGTTTGACAATGGTTGTGAGGTGCCCGATTCGGAACTGGAACCGGCCATCACACACCTTTCCACCAGACAGGCGGACGCTGTCAGACTCAGGGTCCGTTCGCTCAACCATACGGTTCGGCAGAGGGGTAGACAACTTAAAGCCAGGCACAAAAAACCTGACATCCGAGACGTATTCCGAGATTTCGAGGTAAGTCAATGTTGATATGACAACCACTAGCGCACGAAACCCATTAGAAACTCGATAGCGACCATCAGGTTAGCTCGAAATTTCACTCAATTTTTCTAGTTACCAAAGTTGTAAAGTTATTTTTTTCCCTGTTATGGTGAGAGTTTGATAATAAAAGAAAATTGACCACGGCAGAAGTAGCTTTCTGGCGTAGCAATTGTTAGACGAGGAGGAGGTGGAGTAGTGATAAGCGTGGACGGGCTGGGAACGGTATGGTGATAAGAGGAAATCGATTATCGCTGATAATCAGCTGATATGAGATTATTGATATAAGACAGAGTGTCAGCTGATCAAATGAGACATGATCGGAACTTTTTATTGGCCTTTCTCAGACACTTAGGTTGGGCTCGTGTAATATATTATATTATTCGAACCTTTTCAAAAAAATGTATTGTTTTTTTGTTTTTTCAGAGTTTGAGTTCTAGCTCAAGGTCGAGAAGCGCTACCCCGGATTCGGATTCCAACAGTCCGCCAATGTCATGGACCCAAACAGAAATAACAACACCAATACCAAAGTGAGTTGTAACGATTGATATTTTCCTTCCTCTTCTAGCCAATACGTTCAACTCTGTGCTAATTGTTTAGCGCGTTTAGTGAAAATTGCGAAATTATATGCCAAATAACCATAACAAAATGTTTTTTTTTTTTAAATAAATAATAAACACATCATATCTGGTACACTGTTGCTAAAATAATAAAACAACCATTAGGCATAAAAAAAAAATAGCATCGAAGCTAAAAATACTTGCCAAGTGTTTACAGAAACATTTAATGTATAAACAAAGAAATAAACTATTCACACAATAATATATATTCTTACCTTCACATAAAATTAATTCTCATCCGAATTACTTATATTATGGTTATTACCCGATTAAGAAGACAGCCGTACATGCCATTTAATCCAAGCGTTCGGAGAGTGCATTGAAATCTGTTTAAAAAAAAAATGAGTAGTTAATCAATATTTTTTTATCGACGGAACTAATTTCCTATTACCTGTAGATAACACAACAAGGTTAATTCACACGAGCTCATAGAAAACGGATTTTGCCATTGAATAGGTTTTTTTGTACAGGTCGATGGACTACCCGGCCGAGCTGTTTATACAGTAGTGTTCTTGAACTTTCATAGGTCTGTACTAAAATGGATTTTCGATGCCGGTTGTCGTGCAGACGTTATACAACTATAATGAGGAAATAATTATATACATTTTAAACTCGTATAATATTATATGCTTGTTGGGGTCACGCGAAAGACTAAAGACAGTTAACCGATAATAGTTGTTTACGCATGGTCTGCCTACAATATTATTACCTATGCCGAATCATAACAACATTGTATTTCTTTGCATTATGACATTGAATAGCCAAGAACAAAATTATAGCTTGCTCGGGGTGATGGTCCAATTGAATGAGAATAATTTGCTGAGAATTTTGACTGGTCGACAACTAGTTTTGGATGATTACTTTTAAAGTTGTTTAAGTTCAAAGTGTAGGACGGGAGGTAAGGTCGAGTGTAGTATTATTTATTTATTTATTTATTTTTTATTTGAACAATTATTACCGGCCAGAAATGTGTATATTAAGATCAGGCGTTGAACATTGCTAGCTTTGTTTTAAGGAACAGCCAGACACTGTATTAATTGTACAGTGGAAACTTCACAGTGAATGCGAAAATGTGATTATTGCAGATTATTTTTTATCGCCGTTCCTAGAAGCATCGATCCACGTTAGAGGACTTTTATCCCCAACCATAGTGAATTGTTCAGCTAAAATATTTAATTATGTGGTTCGATAATTTTTCAAAAACCGTGGCTATATTTTTAATTATGATTTTGCCGACAAAATGTATATTATTATGATAAATGTTTTACTGAATATTTCATCCCAAGACATTCCGACTAGAAATACTTATCACGGATTTGTTTTTAAGACACACAACTTTATTGATAATATTATATATACATATATGAAGCGGGCTGCCTTTTTTTATGATCGTCAAAAGACACGGTTAACTATGACTATTATTTACTATGCTATTACAATACTATAATATATATATATATTTTTCTTTTTTTTGTTGACATTTTATGTCTTTACTTTGGCACACAACCGGGAAAAAACGGCAGCGTTACCAAAAAACCTAACGAAAAAATCAGATGATTTATCTGATAAGATAAGAGATAAGAGAGGTAAGAGATAAGATATTAGAGATAAAATGTCTTCCGTGGTTGCAGACTCGTACGCAAGCTGTTTAATGATAAATTAACCTTTGTGTGAGTTTATGTTTAAAATGATAATTTTCCAATTGTTTTGTTCCAAGTGTTAAATAAGACGTGTAATTCCTTTTTCGAGGTCGAATTCGAGTTTTTATATATTTAATTGCCAAACGTTTTTTGTGGGTTTTAATGTGTATTATTATTTTTAAATTATAATTCCAAACGCTACGGCGAAGAAATTGGACTAGGAAATCTCAAATGTAGTTTGTAATAACACAGCACGGTGTACAACAATGTTATGTACTAAGTACACAAAAAAAAAAAAAATCTCAGCACTTTTAGCATTACCAAAAAAAAAAAACCGTTTTCCCGCAACCGCTCGTTATCGCATTTAATTCGACAAATATAATATATTATTATTATTTAATTGTCTTTCTATTTGTTTACTCATTGTTGTTAAGCGTGAGAATTTTTCACTAAAACAGTACATAAAAAAAAACCACAGAAACAAATTATCACAACCGTTAATTTGTTTGTGTTAAGCCAAAAATGTAATTGGAGCGTTTTCTAATGGAAAGCTAAGCTGGAAACTAAAGATTATCATTATTATTAGTGTTTTTTTTTAAAGTTTTTTTGGACCACACAAACGATTATTGTATTATATTTATTATTTACCTATACCGGAGCGGTTTTGTAACTGATATTAATAAGATAACATCTCAAATGTTTTTTTCTCGTTCTTTGAAATTATCGCCAACGGTATAAAATACTATGAACCATATTATGCTGTTGACTGCTTTTTTTTCTTTTGTAATACTCCACTCCATTCACATTTGAATAGATTACACAGCTACTATAATATATAAACGATATTTACCGTGTATCAAAGACCGAGTTAACAACTGGTTAACACACACACACACACCCATCGGTGTCGACGGGCCATAATATTATTATCTTGAGACGATTTTATGACTTTGGACCTTGACTTCTTGTCGGTCGGTTTTGATTATTGTATCAATATTATTATTATTGTTGGTGTGCTCAAACGCTAAACGTATTTGGCCATAATATAATATCAACTGCTTGTACATAAAAATGTATGATTTCGTGGCGTTGGTACTCCTGGAATTGAAAATGGCGCAAATCAATGCATGTCAGCTGATTTTCTGTCTCTTATCAGTTGATTTTCTTATCAGTTACCATGTATCAATTTTTATCAGTTATCCCTTATCACACTATATTGTACCGCCTCAAGTACTTTGCAGTAGAGCTAAACTAGTTACGGTCGAAAGTATTATGTAGGAAAATAAAAAATAACATTGACTGTTTAGATCTATGCCAAACGATAAACAGATTGGTCCCATTTTATAGGAAACCTTGTGACAATCGATTATTATGATTAATGCCTAAAAACAATAGTGTTTAATAGAGCACTTGTTGGCTCTAATCCCAAGAGCCAACATGTGCGATTAAAAATTATCCACATACACACAATACTAGTCCAACAATAAAATAATAGATTACTACAATGAAATAAAGATAATGATAATAATACTATTGTAACTAATATTATAAGAAATATATATAAGGTTATAAAGGTTATCTGATAATACATTGTACAGTAGTAAAAACCAAACACAATGTTTGAATCAAAGCTATAGTAACATTTTACTAGAATAAAAAGCTTGCCCAATATGATAAAAGTAGCGCAGTAATGTAAAAGCGCTGTTTTTTCTCTCGTAATTAGTCGACCAAGCCGAGGATTACTTCCCAGCGAAATTATGAAAAATACACAATTTTCTAGAAGTAAAAATTAAGCTTAATGTATATAAATATTATTCTTTTCGCTATAGGTAGTTTTCTTTTTCTCCGGTAGGTATATTTTCCCCACAAACCAAGGTTATTGTCGACGGATAGGTGGTAAGCCACGGCGCAGAACAATAGATTAATATGAATTAATCACCGCAAATCAACAGAAAAAAAAAACCAGTCACGTTTTATTTCAATCGAATTATCCCTCTTTTAAACCAATTATTTCAATTTAAGTGGTTAAAACTACATTATTATCTTTATAATTTTACTGTATCCAACGCAAGACAGACACAGTACTAAACTGGCCTATTACGTCATCATCTAGTATTAACGATTAAAACTCGAATATTATATTTTTTTTGACAAGTGCTATTATTATGATTTGTTGTTTTTAATTATTAATATCAATCACCGCCAATTTAAATAATAGTATATAATATACATATAATACAAAACATTATAGCACATGATATCACAATGTGAAATTAATTTTTTTTTTTTATAACTTTATTAGAGTAATAATTTATACATTTTAAAACGTCTACAACTAGTAAATTTTTTTTGTGCAAAATAGCCATGTGTCATTTATTTATGTTAAAACGTTGCACTGTACATATATATATACATGTATTTTTTTTTCGATTATTTATTTTAAATTCGAGCAGAGTTTGTTAGGTCTGTGTTTTAGTGTGGTTTTAGTTTTGTCGGAGAATGTCCCACTGTGGCGAAGAGTAGTGCGAGGAATAGACGGAAGTGAAGATTGACAAAATAAAATCGGTTAGAAGTTTATTTTAAGAGCGAAAACCCATTTTGTTTTATTTTTAGATGCCTTGTACGTACACATTATCTAGTGTGTCCTTGGATTTCGTTCTAGTCTAGTAATGTGATTGATTATTGTTTTTATTTAGGTACACTGATCCGAACGTGGACTTGGGAATTTATTCGAAAAAAGATGTTCGCCGAATGCCAAGTGCGCCCGTGTTACCATCCAGAGACATATTTCGCCGAAGCAACCGCAGTAACAACGGTATCGTGGCGTCCGAAAGTGGTGAGTGATTAATTATTATTATATTGTCTTAGTGAAACACAACAATAAAAAATAATAGTAAAATAATTTTTGTTTAACGGTTTTCTTCGAACGACCGTGATTATACTAATCGCATACCACATTGTAATAGGTATTGTTTTTCATCGCAACAACTCTTTTGATTGTAACTCGCACGATAAAAAAAAAAATACATATCATTACATTCGTTCACGTACAGAGTGATCCGCAGGATTTAAATATATTTGATTTTCATTTAAAAACAAAGTCAAGAGCAAGCTACACTTCATGCAAGTACATCACTACATGGATGTTTCTCGCCATCTAGTATCTCTTATCCGCTATCTCTGAATAGTAGTAGATATTGTGAAACTTTTAAAAACAGTTTCCAGCCATACTTGGCGCTATGTTTTAGGAATGATAAGGGTTTTTGTGAAATTTTTTACCCGGGTCCAAAATTTTAATTTAAATCTTTTTTTGGCAATTTAATTCACACTGAATTGTTTACAAATTAGCTAGATGACAATCTTCCTGGCAAAATTCTCTACTACCTACCTTACCTAACCTAACCCTCCATAATACTCATCCATAATTCCTTAATACTCCTTAACTCTAACGGTATACAAGTATAAAAAAGAATAATTTTAAAAAGTCCAATATGTTGATGAATCACCTTGTAGACAACCGAAACATCTCCAAATGTAATACAAAAGCCATTACATATTTAATCTATGACAGTACATATACTGTTGTATTAAATTTCAATAATATATTTTAACAACTCATTACCGATTTAACTATCATATGAATTTTAATTAATTCGCTTTTGACTATAATTATATAATAAATAGCTTTTTTTTCATAACAACGTATTATCTATAATTGACATGAATAAGTTATCAGCAAACCCAAGACCAACCAATGTCATTTTAAAAATAGCTGCCTCAGAATGTTTTTCGGTGACTTGAGTAAAATAGCCAAGAAGCCAATACAGTAAAATTTAACGTTACAGTAATTTTATTCAAGTCAATAGTACTATTCCAAAGGAATATAATTTGAAGAGTTGACATTTAAAAGTCGAATAGCGAATTGTGGAAAAGCGACACGGTGCAAAAAACGACTAGTCAAAAACCCGTTTTGGATAAAACACTTTTTCAGTAATTTTAGCATATAAAAAACATCATGGACTTGAGGTGAGGTCGACAGTAATAGTATAATATTTATATATATATATATTCAAACGCACACCGCTGACCCACATCAAAAAATTAGATATTTTTTTAAAAAAATTTTTGAAAATGTAATTTTTTTATATCAAAATATATAATGAGGGTTTTATTAGAAACTCGTTTGGCCGTCATAATTTTTACATTGACAAATGACATGTACGCTTAGAAACGTTTTTCGCAATTGTTACAACTATTATTTGTATTTACCAATTTTGTTTGTTTTCAGACGGTATAACTATGGTTGGGTTTCAAAGACTTGGCACCGTGCGCGGATTCAAATTTGAACAACGCCCTTCGACCGTGGCCAAAGACCGCAATCGCAGTGGAAGCGACCCGCTTCACCTGTACTCGACTTCGCCCGAAGAGCATACCAACACACCTAGGTATGCCGAATTTTTTTTTCATCGTTAAATTTAGATAATAAAACATAATATAATAATGTTTGTTTGCCTCTTCAAGTATGGGCTTGGCCGTGCCCCAGTCTTCGGTCACTCGCAGCCACGGTTGTTTGTACGAATCGTCCGACAACCATCGGGACAGCTCGCAGTACGTGGGATTCGAACAGATGTGGCAAAACAACAACTACCGTCTGGAGGTAATGTTGCCAGTGTAAATTTTCAAACTTTTATTTGCCAGTTAAGGTAAAAAAAAAATGCTCAAAATATTCATATTTTCAGAGAAAACGAGTGTCTTACGTTAGTTGGATCACCCTGTATGCTGATTGTATATATTTTGTTAATATGGTACATTTTGTTCATACGAAATAAGGCTTCGAATGAAAAAATTATTGAACTCTTACCTTGAATAATGTGTTATCTAGATTCGGATAATGTTTTATTCAAAATGATGTTTAACTTTACAGAAATCCTATTCGTCCGTGGACGAGAACACCGGTAGAACTTGGCCAGAATCGCTCAGCGACGAAGACTTGGCCAAGCTTCGACCATTACTGTTTCTCGAGTTGTCGGCCATGTTCGACAGTGCCGGAATACCGTTTCACAAAGGCAAACCGCACAAGCGCAAAAGGAGAGAAGGTACGGTAAAGTTGTACAGATTGTTGTGGTTAGGTTGTGCTTAAAAAATAAATTCCTCACTTGAAAATCTGGAGCGAATCATTAATGGACCCCCTCCCCCACCTTTTTGAGCTTTTTAAAGGTGTTGTGACCGCAATAGCTTGTATTTATATGCTTTGACACCTAACCCGAACAAGAATGCATTGTTGAGGATCAAGATGAAAAGAAAACTGAATGAATTGAGAATGGAGAATCAGCTTTTAAGGCGAGAAAAAGCATCAACTGCCAAGAGAAGGTTTGCTTTGAGGCAGGATTTATCGATAAGGTCAACTGATACCCAAGGAAGGATTTATTGATAAGAAAAAATGAGATTATAAAGGAGCATGTATTGATGACAGAGAGGTCATGTGACTATCCCTAGGGAAAATCAGCTTTTCTAAGAATGATATGTTTACAAGGGACAATCGGGGCCGGGTTTGCATATCTTTTTGGCTGGATTTTTTTGGGGAAACAGAGAAACTCGCAGTAAAAAAACCCTGCCTTTTGGGTCTTACACAAGGGGCTACTCCCCCCCCCCTTGACTCCCCGCCATCTTTATAATTTCCACACTTCAGGCGGAGTATGTAGAACACATTGAATATGCTTTGGCTTATATGTCTACCTGTCTTAACATTTTTGCAGAAGGTACTATTTTTGGCGTGTCTCTGTCGAACCTCGTCGACCGCGACCAAGCGATCGCCAACCGCCGAGTCCAGGTGCCGTTGATACTCCAAAAGGTCTTGGGACAGCTGGAGAAACGCGGCCTGGGCGAACAGGGTCTGTTGCGGATGGCAGCGCCGAAAGCAAAAGTGGAGAAGCTTTGCGGGGCCGTGGAGAAATACTTTTACGCCAAGCCCGACGAGGTGGATCAGCTGCTGGAAAAGTGTTCGGTACACGATTTGGTCGCTTTGTTGAAACGTTTGCTCAGAGACCTACCCGAGCTGTTGCTCACTCACGAGCTGATCAATTTATTTTACCAGACCAGTTGTAAGTAGTGTACACCGTAGCGGTGTGACGTTAATCCGGATTTTGCAATCGGATGAAATTTCATGCCATTTTCGCGTTACACTTTCGGTTAGAGATAAAAGATAACAGTTACGTGATATGAGATAATAGATAACAGATAAGTGATAAGAGATAACATATCCAAGATTCAAAAATGTTTGTCCACATGAAAATAACTAGGTTTTTTTTTTGTTTAAATAAACCACTAGTCATGATTAACTTTTGAATTACATCGTGTGTAACGGGCACGTTCGACTTTGGCAAATCCGGATTTTTCCCATCGCTAAACTATTACGCGATAAAAGATGGTTTCGTCGATTCAATCAGTTCTCAACGTTGACCACTTTTTTTTTTCGCCCACAGCCGTGTCCGACACCGTGAGGGCTCTAAACCTATTGGTGCTATTGTTACCTACCGAGAACAGGGCTTCGTTGCGGGCCCTCGTTCGGTTTATGTCGAAATTGGTCGAATACCAGCAGAGACACGATCTGGAAAACAAGATGACCGAACACAACGTGGCGATGATCATCGCACCGTCTCTGTTTCCTCCCAGGTAAAATACAAAACAGCATGTACAAAACACACCGACAGGACGGTTGTTAATGTTTTACTCGTTGCAGATCCGTACATTTGGAAAAAAAAGACTTGCATTCGCATTTGGACCAGGCGGCTCGAAGCTGTCGCCTGACCGAGACTCTGATGAACCACATCGAAGAGTTATGTTTAGTTCCTACCGATCTCATGAACCAGCTCAGGCACAACAACGAAATTTACCAATGTCGACTCAAAGAAAACAACAATCCCGTAAGAATCCCGTGACTTTTCAACTTGATCTAATCACAGCGCGCGGCCATGTCGTTAAATCGAGTCCATGATATGTAAATTCTCCAAAAAAAAAAGAGTGGATACGGTTCATATATTTTATTCTACCCGTACTACAATAATGTCCACCCGAATTGCAGGGTTTAGGTTGAAATTTGAATTCATATACCGATAAAAAAACTTTAAAGAGGAGATTTTCTTTGATATGCTTTTTTTCTAAGCCAATGTCAAACAAACGAGTTACAGCTTTTTAACAAAACCATAAACTAACATAGGTAAATGTAACAATTTTATATTAAAAACATCAGTTTAAATTTACCACGGTTACCACACATACCAAGGTTGCCACACAAATCAAGGTTATCACACATACCACGGTTACCATATGCATCAAAATAAAATAACAAAACTAAAAATAGCTCAAGAGACTTGACTTACAAATTATGGGTTTTACCATTTAAATTGGGGTTTTACCGAATATGTTTTCCTACAAAAGCTGTTAGTTTTGATAAGAACATTTGTTTGGTAAACAAAAAGTGCACGGTCTCCATTTTAATAAAACATATTTTTCACCGTAAGTCGGCCATTTTGAATTTGTATTTTTAACGTCCCCCTTTCCCTTTGCACTCTAAAAGTCTCTAATAAACAACTTTTTGATTGGATTAGTATTTTAAAATGGGACATCCTGTGTATTTATGTAATAAGGTATTATGGTTAAGTAACGTGACCTTTTCAACATTAAAACCAATTTCACGGAAATGATAAATAATAAGATACAATAATTGTTAGAAAGATCTGATTTTCACTTGTACTGTCTACAAATAATTCACAATAAGTATAGCACCCCATGTAAAAGCGATTCCTCTATGGCCATTTGTCGTCAAAAACATAAATTCCAAGGGGCAAGGACTGTGTGCATATAATATTTAGTTAGGGCAACAGAACATCAAGTTACGCCACCGGATTTGATCCCCGAAAAATACATAGATATACAAACTAGAACTATGGATAAAAGAATTTCCGTGTTCGTGAAAATATCGAAACTGGTTTTTGATAAAAACTGGTTTTTTTTTAATTTAAAATAATCCCAGAAAAAATACTTTTAGATATTATTATTTTTTTTTTCAACGGTTCAGTATGGTTGTGAAATATTAAATGTTCAACGTTTAACAAATAGACAACGACGGTGGAAAAAAAAGTATACACTGAATATAAACTAATAGAAATTATGGAAATCACGGTGAACATATTATATTTGTTTAACACGTCCAATCGTTGAATATGTTGCAACATACGTTTGATAACAAAAAAAACAAAATCTCTATTCCTCAAACTGTTGACTTTGCGCCGCTATAGAATAATTTTGGAATTTTTTTTTCCCGCGCCTTTAGGTAAGACGATTTTTGGGCAAGAAAAAACCAGACGTCGTCACCAAGAGGATCAACAACGAGCTGGACTATCAGGAAGGTGTGATCCGCGTGGACGCCCCTCAGTTCCGGATATCCGGCATACCTTTATTCTTGACCGACTCTACCACTGTCGGCGAAGTGATACTCAAGTACGTTGCTCGGCCTCGAACGTTGTCGAAATTGATTGCTTAATCTTTTTCTTCTCCTTTGCCTCCATATCATTCTCAATCGCATCCAACCGTCTCTTTTTAACGCGGATAAGTGTTTGGGTTGGTTACAAGAAATTTTACGTCCCCATTTTCGCGTTACACTTTTACTTTCACATGATAAGAGATTAGAAATAAAGGAAAAGCGATGTGATAAGTGATAAGCGATAAGTGATAGCTGATAAGAGAAAAGCGATAAGAGCATAGATATTATATACTAATACCAGATAGCCGTCTTGGAATTATTAGTGAAGCTGACGCCATATGCAATGTGGGCACAATCGGTAAACAAACGTTATCGATATTAGGTTTTATCATCTTGTATTATAGATTACCTTATGCCTTTATAATTTTTGACATTTTCATGTCATTGCTCTGGCACATAACCGAAAAAAGCGTTACGCTGTTATCTGATAAGAGATTATAGATAAGAGATAATAAATGGTGATGGGGTTGTTTAAATTGTTTTAATTATATGTTGTAGCACGCGAAATTTATTCGGTACTTCAACGAGACATGATAGTGCTCTTTCGTAGTTGCAGACTCGGCTGAAAAATGCTTTTAATTTTACCCGTTGTTGTTATATCACTGATAGTGTGTTTGATAACGTTTGTTTACCGATTGTGCCTACATTGCATTGGGCGGCGGCTTCAACTAATTTCAGGGTGATTATGACAAAGACGGTAGTATTAGTAGTATTAGTATAAATCAATGGATAAGATGCAATCAATGTGATAAATTATAAATAATAAGTGATAAGAGAATAGAGATAAGTGATAGCAGATAAGAGATTAGAGCTAAGAGAAAGAGATGTGATAAGAGATTAGAGACCAAATTTAATAAAAATAAAAATGATAACTTGATACATTATAGTAGAAAACGGATAAGGGCTCACAGCGGAACTCTGGTGCACGCCTACTCCAACTCTGAAAATCTTCCATTTTTCACACATATCCTCTCTACTCTATCGAACTAAAATTATACACAATATTATATTGATCAATAACATTGTCGTTACTGTGTTTCAAGAATTGTGGAAGAGGCAGCCAAGCAAACGGTGACCAAGAACGGTGTCGCCGTCAAGACGGGCCGAAAAGATCTTAAATCGAGAGCGCTGACGGAATTGGCTCCAAACGGAAACCTGTCGTGCCTTCTGACCACTGCCGATCCGGACATGGCCACGAGAACTCATTTCCTGTACGAGACCGGTGGAAATATAGGTACGGCTGTCCAATGGCGGACTCGATAGTGGATTTCTCGAGTGGTGGGCAAGAGCCCTTTTGAATCTGACTTCATTCCTGTCAAAATACTCGGAGGTCGATTGGCATTAAACGTCAGTGGCTCAACCAACAAAGTGCTTATCGGTTAGGTCGGGTTAGGTTGGGTTCGCAAAGGAAAATCGAGGAGAAGACAAGAAGAAGATAAATTAAAATTAAATTATGTAAATTTATAATAATGTGTAATTTAAACGCGAGCCTGACCCGCGAAGGGGAAAACAGGATTTTTACTAGTGTGTAATTGTAATATAACAATAAATGAAGCCCACCGAGGAGGAAGCAAAGCGGAAGTGGTTCGGTTAGGTTAGGTTAGGTTAGGTTTCCTGTGTCCGTAGAACTCCGTTCTAGCTTCTCCAATTTCACAAAGCAAAACCAATGCGTTTGTGGTCTGGTAGAACAAGCTCAGCAGAGAATTTTGCACCCTTCTATGATGCTCAGGACTAACCCGTTGGAATCAGAACCATTTCCCGTTTCCGCCCGTTTGTCAATCAGTCTATCTCCTCCTCGTCCGGGGTTTGGTATCCACACCGAAAGATGATGAGTTCTAATTTCTCTTGCCTACAGTAGTTTATTAGCTTAGTCAGCTTAGCTCTTCCTGGGTCTTCCTGGGCCATTACGGCACACGTTGCATTCGAATAGGTTAGGTTAGGTTAGGTTAGGTGTGACCTTTTTATTTTTATTTATTTTGGTGTGTTTTTTTCAGGTCAACGCCGAATAGAACCAACGGCCAACATGATGGCCGTCTACCAGACCAACCCTAACGCCCAATGGTTCATTAAATGCGACCACAGAAACGGCATCGCTCACGTATGACACACACATTTCAACAGTGGATATTAATGTTTATTGTGTTTTTTTTTTTTTTGTAATATTATTATCGAACTTCTCTTGGCGAAACCAAAAAAAAAAAAAAATACTATAACATTCGTGTTGTTGATTTGTGAAATAGAGATTATTTTTTTTTTTTTTTTCATCCCGGGCAGGTTTTAAATATTATAATATGTGTATTGTTCGTTGGTATACTGTTCTATTATCATTATTATTATTATTATTATTATTTTTATTTGCTCCTGCCTTTGAATTAGTTTTTATCATAATAGTTCACACAGAACGTGACTAATGTATATTGTTTATTTATTTATTTTGTTATTTTCATGTAATTATCGATCAAACGCTTTTGCCAATAAAATAGCTGACAAACTGTAAAGAAAAAAAAAACAATTATCATTCATCGTGCTGTCGTTTATTATATTTATGTGTTTTACCTATTTTTTTGAGTACATTTTCAACAAGTTTGTACATTGAAGAAAATCGGCTTGCCAAAGTGACTTTTACACATCAAAAATTATATGAATCAAAAACAATACTTTGAAGCTTATGCAAATTAACCGGAAATTGGCACGGTCGAAATTTGTTAAAACCTATTTTTTTCTTAAACATTGCCTATACAAAACTCCTTAAAAACAGACCGCACGCCTTACCCTCGATAAGAAGTTTTTATTTGTATCGGATATTGCCTATATTGTGCCCCTTAATGATTAAAAATAAGAGCTACGTTGTTGTATAAGTCTTTGGGAATTGGTTTTTCCTTGAAACGTTTAAATTTCAACTAAAAATAATGTTTTGTTTAAATACAAAAGCTGCAAAAATTCATAAAAAAAAAACATTATTCGAGTAAAAAAAAAAAATAATGTACATTTTTATTTAAAATAACAAAAAAATAGATGTATATACAAATGTGTTTCGAATACAAAGATTGGGGGATACATTTTTGGGGGGTGCTAGTTTTTAGTCTGGGATGCTAAGTCTCTCTGGATGTTAAGACCACCCCCCTTGCCCTATGAGTATAATGTAAAATACATTTTTAAATCATATTTAATTGCATTTAACTGCAATGATAAATTGTTCAGCCATAATATATTTTATTTAATAAAGGCTAAAACAAAATTGTTTAAAAGAATTATACGAATAAGAATGTGCACAACTCAATAATAAACTCTATCTTTTTTTTATTTAAGTAAGATATATTACAATCTGTACAATAAGCACATAGAATAAGAAAGAAATTACCCGAATAAAGTTTTCAAGAAAGAAACCACTCATTAGTGACACTTTCCAACTCCACCCCCTAAACTCTTACAATTGTTTAAAAGTAACTATCAAAAGCCGGTTATCGACCGTTCAACATTTTTTAGCAAATTACTTAATCATTTAAAAACTCAATCAAATACATACTAAGAAAGGTATGTAATATATTTGGTACTATTCTAAAGGAAAACAACGACCACAGTGTCTCTTAAAAACTACAAAATTGCTTGTTGAGTTAAAAGAAGAAAAAGAGTCTTGGGTATATTAGTAGTAGTAATTGTACTCTTTGCACGGTGGATACGATAAGGGTTGATCGCCTGTCTATAAAAATGTACTGTCATAGTTACCCATGTATCGTAATAAACAATATAATGAAAATATTTTCATTACCTGTTGACTGTTGATTCACACACACATAGCAACCCAGAAATTGACTACGGCCAAAGTGTAAATTTACCCTATTTTTGGGGTTTTTCTTTAATAAAAAAAAAATTTGACTACAGATTTTTGAGAAAATCGTACATGTTATAGTTCTATTTTAGTCTAATTTTCAGACCTAAATCTCTAAAACTTTGCTTTAAAATGTGAAAAAAAAGAAAAAAATTCTATCCCTTCTAAGGGAAAAGGGTTTATAATATTTTTTTGGTTTGTTAATGTTTATCGATAGTACTATGTTTGAAGAACAATTCTTATAAATTTGGAACATTTTCGAATATTTTTAAAAAAGTTATAGAGCATCGTAATTTTAAGTTGAAAAGTGTACATTTTTTAGGAGTTTTTCTCGATTTTGATGGGGAAGAGGTGATTTTTTTTTAATTTTTGGCCTGATAAAGTATCTTCCAGGTACGATTTCTGATCCATAGAGTTGCTACACAAAGAAATCGGTCCAGCGGTTTACGAGATATCGTGGGTCCAGACACAAAAATAAAAACACTTCATTGTAAAAACAATACCTTCTCAGCTCCGCATCGAAGCTAATATTTATACTTTTCAATGATTATACATATTGTAATATTTCTTATATTTTCAACGCGTCCAAAGTTTCATCGCGCCTAACGAGTTGACGTTTTAATGAAATTATATTGCTTGAAATAATTAGTTTTTATAGCTGTTGCGATGATAGAAATAGAATCAAATAGACGGAAATCACATATGGAGATGACCTACGGGTATAGAATAGTGTACACATTGAACCAATTACGAGGAGTCGAGTTTTAAAAATATTTACTTATTTTTTTTTTGGGGGGATTTTTACATCTGGTAGAATTTGTGTGTCCTTGGCGTGTTGTCGTTAGCGGTTAGCCACACTCGGCTGCCAGCTTTGCCCACATTTTCTGCCAGCAGTGTGAACGGTGTGTGTGTGCTTATATTGTTGTGTTGCGCTTGTACAATTATAGATACTAGTGTATGACACACAACAAAAAAACATGGAAGCCATCGGCCACAAGCTGTTCCAGCTGGGAGATCCCGAGGGCAAAGGATTCATCATAAGACGGGACATGCAGGTAATTCCACTGGGCTTAACCGGAGACAAGAGTTGTGCATCGTTATTCGAATAAACTCTAATAAACAATCATCCGGATGACACATTATCCGAGTAAAAGTTATTCGAATAATTTAAAATTAAATTATTCCGATAAATTGTAAAAATATTGTTTGAATAAAAAATTGCCTTCCTATTTTCCACTGGTCTTATTAATATTTTTTAAATTTTAAAATAATATATTACATTTATACCAAGTAATGTTTTCAAATATAATTACTTGATAAAAATCACTTACTAACTATTTAAATAATATGTTTATTGAAAATTACTCAAATAAAAAATGATTCGAATAAACCGTAAACGATTATTCGAATAATATAAAAAAAAAATTTAAAAAAATGATTCGCATAAGTTTTTTTTATTGGAAAAAATTGCAAAATAACTATTCTAATTAGAGCTTGCACAAATTGGATTTTTGGTTATTTTAAATGGCAACATACGTTTTTTATTACATAAATTTGTAGACAAAAAAGAAAAAAAAAAGATGTTAGCGTTTAAATTTTCATTTATTCGTTCATATTATACTGCCATTAAAAAAGCCCAAAAATCCCTCTTTTTGGCTTATATAAATGGATTGGTGATAAAAATTTTCAAAATATTTAAAAAATCTAGTAAAACATGTGCCTAAATGTTACGGTAACGATAATTATAACAACTTGGACATTCTTTGGATGTCGGTACTGTATAGAATTTGAGAGAAAAAAAATCTTAATTATTCTGTCTTACCCGTGTGAATAATTTGAAAAAAAATCCCAAAACGTCATGACCGTGACTATTAAAAGTTTATTAAAATAACTCTTATCGGGTACATCAGAGGTTTTAAAACGTGCACGTTACAGTATATGTGAGAAAGTTTTATTGTATAATAATAATCGTTAACCGTTTTTATTTTATTATTCGAAACAATGGTAGTAAACAGGATGTTTTTTTCCTCTCAAAACCAACGATTAATAGTTGAGATATTATCCGTCGACAGAGAATGGTAACAACACATTATACGTATAAGACCTCACAAAAAAAAAAATTGATTATTCGTTTACCAGAAAAATCTGAAAATTCGATCTTGATCCAAAAATCTGTTTTGGGTAGGTCCAGTACGCATTTGGCAAATGTCTTTGGTAAAAAATAGGTATGTTTAAACTTAATATGTAAATCAATGTAAACGTCACTCTAGAAATGCCAAAAGAATTCGAAAAAAAAAATTCGACTAGGTGTTTCCTGTAACCTATTTTACTTAACCTAAACAAATAACCCACCTAACTCTGTTTAGGTATGATTATATTTTGTTGGTGAGAAAAAAAATAACGTGTGCATTGTACAATAATAATAATAATTTATTGTACTGTCCATTGTGTTCAGAAACCGCCGAGTCTTGAACGAACAAACTATATTACACTAACAGCATTGTTTTCTAGGTCGCTGCTTAGTATAAAATCCAAAAACCAATTGATAATTTCAAAAAAAAATACTAAAATTGTCCGTATTTGAGTTTGCATCGCGTTCGTATTATGTGTGCGTGTTACAGATATTTAAAAAAAAAAAAAAATTCTCTCTTGCCTCGGTACGTTGAAAATGTTTTCAATAATCGTTTGCCCATAATTGTTTGAATTGTATGGGAAAAAAAAAGCGTTTCTAAATAATTGTACACATTGTCTGCGTGGTGAATACATTGGTATTAGGTAGGCATGTGTCCACAATATAGCTGTTGCTGTTCATTATTACAAGTAGGTACTTATAGCTAGTTTTTTTTTTTCATCATTGGGATTTGGTTATGAGCGAAAACGATGCATAACAAACTGCATATTAGTGTCTCTAATCTCAAGGGCATAATGATAAATGTCCGATAAATTCTTAAGTATGTAGTACTTACTACCGAATGCAATTATATTGTATTGCTCGAATGATGATGAACTTCTGTGCACAAGAGGTACCACACACAAAACGTCATCGGTTCGCACACAAAAGCATTGACACTTGTTCAAACATTTGGTTTTTTGTAGCCGCCCAACAGGTAACCTAGAAAGAAAAAAAATGCCATCTTTACATTAGCGAGTCTCTACAAATATAGCAACGTTCTAGGCGGCTAATCGATATTGTACAATTGAAAGGAATAATTAAAATCTTATTAACATACACAAGCATAAACGATAGCAATTTATTCTAATTACCTGCACACTGAATGATGTCATTGAAGTAGTTTTGTTAATATTCCTCGTGAAATATTATCAATTGGGTAATCGGCTGATAAGGAGTGAATGATAAGGAATGATAAGAGACAATTAGCTGATAAGGGACACAGAAAATCAACTGATCGTAAGACACGTTCATAAGTGTTCAATGTCTTTCCTTTAAGGGACAAATTTGTATAAGTTGTGTTAGGGCATGGGTAGGCTTTTTGCCTTCAGTCGGTGTACACATTTTCCAACTGTAGCTTTTCTAATTTCATATCAACTGCCATGTACTCCCGCGAAGGGATTTGTCGTGCAAACAGAAATAGGCCTAATCTGACAGTGGCTTTTTTCTTCGCCTTGTGAGAGCTTGAAGGGTCTGAACCTCTCAAGCCTCTCCCACAATATTACCATAATCGTGCCAATAATCTTAGGTCCCTCCGGTGAAACTCCTGACCCTCAATTTTCAGAATAACAATCGCAGCACATTTAAGCCAATTGCCCAGACCTATAAATAAAGTCATTATACATATCAAATGCCTCTACTGTTGTTTTCGCTCGTGTAACGTGTTCAAAACAAATTAAGAAATTTATTGTAACGTGAGTGTATGTTTAGAAACTTAAAGACGAACTTTGCATGACTCCGGAACAACTTGAGATTGTATTTGACACGTTAGATGTCGAACAGAAAGGATACCTGACACTGGATCAATTTTTGGAAAGATTCAGTAAGTATTTGTTATGCGGCCTTACAATAATAATTTATTTTCTACCTATGTAATTCTATAAAAGAACATTGTGACCAGAAAAACAAAAATATAAAAAAATGCTCTTTAACCAGCTCAAAGGTCTGCCTATTTATAAGGTTCTTACTAAGGATTGTCGTTGAAAAATATCAAACAATAAAAATCCCCAATCGAGAAACACAATTGGAAAAAATTAGCCTAAGATTAAGTAATAATCGAATAAAAAACGGTATACTTTGAGTTTAAATTTGGTAATGATGTTTTTTGAAAGAATTCAGAGAACCTGTGATGCATGGATAGCGAGTAGAATCTAAAGTAGATAAATAATTAAAATACTCAACGGATCATCAGACATGCAAGAGAATGGAGGAATTAAAGAAGATATGGCGAGCAGAGTATTTAGGCCTCTAAAAATTAAATACCAGAAATGTATTACCATGCTCGAGTGGGAAATCTTCAAACAAGAAGAATACAAAATTCTTTAATACTTCCCTTAAAAGAAAGACATTGGGCATAGACTTCTTACACAAATCAGCTGATTTTCTGTCTCTTATCATTCATCTATCTATTATATTTATTTATCATTTATCTCATCACCATCACATACCCAACCTCGTCCACACTTATCACTGTCCCGTCCTCTTCTCTATCTTCATCTCGTCCAAGTTTTAGGATTTAAGCAATTAAAAATTAAACTAAAGTGAAATTGATGCCTTTTAAACCTGGTGAGATTAAAAGTGTCTTATTTACTTTGTATTTTTTTTTTCCATAAGAATAGAAGATACACCGCCCGTGACCGTTCGAAATAAACGGTGGAAAGAAAAGCCGGTTACATTTAAATTATCTTTTTCGGACGATATCCAAACACTTCTCCTAAACATTAAAGAGTTCAATATGCTTAAACTGTAAGTAATACAATATTAATAACTATTGATTAAAACGCAAACACAACGCGGGGTCTGAGTGGAATATTAAACCGCTATAAACTATTATTATTTTTCTATCTGAACTCCTGTAAAATATAATAACAATTAACGTAGGCAAGGAGGTATGATGGTAGTATGTGGGAATGAAACAAAAGGGTTTTCAGGTAAAGTTCATCGAGGGTCAGCTTCAAGTCGCCAGGTTGTGTTAGAGAGGAGTTATGTTAGATCAAAGGTGGAAGACATTATAGATATTCACTTGCTTTATAAGGCCAATGCCAGTGCACTTGAAGATCAGGTCTAGTCACGCGAATATTGTGATCTTTATATTTTAATATAAAGACAGATAACTGGAAGTGGTTTTTTTTTTGTTTGTTTTCAGGAGCATAGGGCACTTAGAAAACATATGCAAGGCCGTTCAATCGGACACGGACAGTTCTGCTGGCATAGGTCGCGTAGAAGCATTTCTCAGGTCTCTGCAAATGGACCTGACTAAAATAGCAGAACAAAATAAAGAACTGGAGGAACTGCTACAGAGTCGGGAAGTACAACATCAGAATAATGTAAAATGACTCTAAAACCCTAATTTGATTATAATATATTGTATTACTGACAACAATGTTCACTACAGATGCAGAAACTATTCGAGGAACTGGAATGCCATTTTCGCGAAGAACAGGAAAAAACCAAAATAGAGGTAGTAAAGTGCTGCGCTAATCTGTGCCACTCGGGGCTCGGTTTATTGATTGAAATTTCCATATACGGTTTTCGTTACAGGACCAGCTCAAGTTTAAAAACGAACTGTCGTCTTTGGAAAGTGAAATTTCCGAAAAAGAAGAACGACTTCGGGCGGCCATTTACACACGACAGGAGTTTGCTAGCCAACTGGTGTCAGCTCAGAAACGCGAGCTGTCGATACTCAACAGCAACGCGGAATTGACCAAAAAACAGGTAACCGTTTTATTTCAAGTGGACAAAACTTAAAAACTAAAAAAAATCTTTCCCTCCCAAAGAAAAACATCGGATCGTCAACGCGAATTAGCTGATTTCCTGTCTCTTATCAGCTGATTGTCTTATCAATAACCTCTTATCAGTTGTCCGGGAATTGCCGATTCCTCTTATCACCTTCCCCACACATATTTAGGAAATATTTTTAAACCGTAAAATTCGATTCCTGCCGAAATAGTTTTACAATATAAATAAATACTACCTATGTATGTTTTCGCTGTCTGGGTCTTTTTTAAAAATGTGTGTGTAGTACGTTTAATTTTTTTATCGCGCATTTTTTTTTATCAGCCGATTACCTTATCAATAATCTCTTATCAGTTGTCCGGGAATTACCGATTACCCCTTATTACCATCCCCTTTTATAAATAAATTGTACCACGTTTAATAAATTATAATTTATAAGTTTTAATTAGTTATAAGTTTACCGAAATTCACAGTAATTTTACTATAATTTTGAAAACATATCTACCTTCCATTTGGTTAAGTTAAGAATAGCGCTCAATATCCTATCTTATGTGAGCTGATACTAACTGTCATCTAGCCGTGTCGGTTAGGCTATTTTTTAAATTTTTATAATGACCGATATTATATTTTTTCAGGAATTGTTAGCCAACGAATTGGACAAAGAGCGAGCTAAAAGCACCAAGTTCGAAGAGCTGTTGGCGCGAGCTAAAATCGAAGCGGCCGTTTCCAAAGAAAAACATTTCAAACAAGGGTTCTACGTGGCGAAGAATTTAGTCTCCCTCAAAGAAGAAGGTCCGGGCTCACGCGTTAACGTTACACTTTAGAGATACACGGTGTGAACAAAAAATATTGCCAATAATTTGTATCACGCCTAGAAATTGACCGAGCCCAAGTGTAACTTTCCCCTTTTTTGGGGGGGCAGGGGGGTTTCCTAAATAAAAACAAAAAAAAGTTTGACTGAGAAAATTCTAGATATATACTAAGCCCCACTTTAGATCTGGGTGTACGACTATACTTCAAAAATGTCAAAGAAATTTTTATCATACATTCTTTATAGGTCCTTAAATAACAAAAACATTAAAAACATTTCATGTCATGGTAAAAAAAACATATATCATGTTCCCGAATCTGTAATTTAACCGCCGATAGTGGTATGAAACCTGCACAGTTAAAATTCTAGTTAAGTGTACTTTAACCATATTTTAAGAAAATATATTAATTTTTATTTTTTAACCTTAGAAAATTTTTTTAATTTTTCAAAAACCTTTTTTGGGATCAAAAAGTTAAAAATTAAAAACAAATATTTTGTTTATATAAAATTTTAAGTTATGTTCTTATAATCCATATCATCTTTGAACCAATTACCGTTTTTTTTCGCTATTTATTTGTATGATAAAAATTTTTGAAGTGTAGTCGCACATCCATTAGGTGATTTCACGTGTGGAATGACCCATCTACCTTCAGTCTAATTTTCAGACCTCAAGCCCTGAAACCACACCTAAACCCGCCCAGTCGTAGAGTTAAAGTCAGTGGATGTTCTGGTGCCCAAGTGTATAACTAATGTATTGTGATGCCCTCGGTGGAACAGCTTTCACATTACTTCTCTGCACATAATATTTTATACATAAGCTTACATACCAGATATATGAGTAAAATATATTATATTCAGACGCACACTTTACTTTTTGTAAAAAATATTCCCCTCTACAACACGTTTTATTGGTATTTAAACAACTCTGAGCAGTCACGTTAGCAACCCATCCAAGAATTTATTTAAAACTTAAACTGTACCGCGTTATTATTATTGTTATTCTTACAGTTCTTAATAATCTTTTTTTGGAAGTTCATTTTTGTTTTTCTTATTATCACCACAGCATCCTTTTTTTTTTTTTTTTGACAGCGGTTTTAAATATTTTCTATCTTTTGCCGTTCAAAAGTACGCACTAAAATAAAAAAATGTAGTTTTAACACAAAACAGGAAGGTCGCAACTTAATCTTTTTTAAACTATTGAAAGATTGTTTATTTATCAAAAAATTAAATCTGTATCGACAACTGTTCCATTTAAATCTTACCCAAAAGTGTGTTGTAATTACATTTTTTTTTTTCACAGGACTACTCCATCAACTACAAATTCTTCAAGATATGAAAAATGTACTGCTGAGCTAAAACACCTTTGTGCTCTACTCTTCTTGATGTTTTCTTAACGTGTTTATTTGTTAAATATTTCACAATATAAATTGTGTGTGTGTACCATTGTTGTTGTGTTTTTTGTTTCCCGAGTAACAATAATAAACCAAAGTAAAAAGAGCAGACATGATATCAGCAAGATTAACGATCGTTACTAAACCGAAATTTCATAACGGCAGTAACGACACTTTTGTCGCAATCGTTTGTTTACCAAAAAAGCACATCGGCTTTCGTTGGATACGTAAAAAAAAAAAAAACAATACATTTTTGGCCCCAAATTGGTCTTTGCAAATTAACATATAAAGCTATTTTTGAAAAAAAAAAAAATACTCAATTTATAATTCAGGTGCTGCTTTTTCTTTAATTCAAAAACTCTAAAAAAAAATGTTTGTATAAAAAAATAATAATAATAATTAGGAGTTTGTTAACGACTATTTTTTTTTTGTGTGTGTGATCAAGCGAAAAGCTGTTGTGGATGAAAATCAGGAACGATCGAGCGACTTAGTATTCTTCGCCACCTTCACCTTCGCCTTCCACGGAGTCCATGCCGACCTCTTCGTAGTCCTTTTCCAAAGCGGCCAAGTCTTCACGGGCCTCGGAGAATTCACCTTCTTCCATACCCTCTCCGACGTACCAGTGGACGAAAGCGCGTTTGGCGTACATCAGGTCGAACTTGTGGTCCAACCTGGCCCAGGCCTCGGCAATGGCCGTGGTGTTGGACAACATGCACACGGCACGTTGCACCTTGGCCAAGTCGCCGCCCGGCACGACGGTGGGAGGCTGGTAGTTGATTCCCACTTTGAAGCCAGTGGGACACCAGTCGACGAACTGGATGGTCCGCTTGGTCTTGATCGAAGCGATCGCGGCGTTCACGTCCTTGGGCACAACGTCACCGCGGTACAACATGCAACAAGCCATGTACTTGCCGTGGCGCGGGTCGCATTTCACCATTTGGTTGGCCGGTTCGAAGCAGGCGTTTGTGATTTCGGACACCGACAATTGTTCGTGGTACGCTTTTTCGGCAGAGATGACCGGAGCGTACGTGACCAAGGGGAAATGGATACGTGGGTACGGCACCAAGTTGGTCTGGAACTCGGTCAGGTCGACGTTGAGGGCGCCGTCGAAACGCAGAGAAGCCGTGATGGACGACACAATTTGACCAATGAGACGGTTCAGGTTGGTGTAGGTCGGACGTTCGATGTCGAGATTACGACGGCAGATATCGTAGATGGCTTCGTTGTCGACCATGAACGCGCAGTCGCTGTGTTCGAGAGTGGTGTGCGTGGTCAAGATCGAGTTGTAAGGCTCGACAACGGCCGTGGACACTTGAGGCGCGGGGTAGATGGCGAATTCCAATTTACTTTTCTTTCCGTAGTCGACGCTCAGTCTTTCCATCAACAACGAGGTGAATCCGGATCCGGTGCCGCCTCCGAACGAGTGGAAGATCAAGAAACCTTGAAGACCGGTGCACTGGTCTGCTAATTTCCTGACTCTGTCCAAAACGACATCGACGATTTCTTTTCCGATCGTGTAATGTCCACGAGCGTAGTTGTTGGCGGCATCCTCCTTGCCAGTGATCAATTGTTCGGGGTGGAACAACTGACGGTACGTTCCGGTTCTGACTTCATCTGTAATACAATTATTGTCGTGTTAAATAACGATATCGTCAAGTTTCTTCAATGGCGTGTAAATTTCAACTTACCGACTACGGTCGGCTCAAGATCTACAAACACAGCTCTGGGCACGTGTTTGCCGGATCCAGTCTCGCTGAAGAAAGTGTTGAAGCTGTCGTCTCCACCGCCGATGGTTTTGTCGGAGGGCATTTGGCCGTCCGGAGCGATTCCATGTTCCAAACAGTACAGTTCCCAGCAGGCATTACCGATCTGGACTCCGGCTTGACCAACGTGTACGGAAATACACTCACGCTAAAAAAAAAAAACGCAATAATTAGTATTTGGTAAAATTAATAGTAACTAATATCAAATGTCGATTGGAACATTTTAAAACAAAAAAAGTAACGCCTCTGCTTTTTCTAAACAAGATTCGCTTATCCTTCATCTCTTATCGGGTGATTCGCTAATCAAATAATCCCTTCCCCCCCTCCCCAATGATTTTAGGACACCACTTTTGTAAAAATAATGAGACGTCCAAACGGCTCAGAGTGCAGTAAAATACATTAATAATAACAAAATGACAATGGTAGGTATAAAAAATAGAAACGAATTACACAATTTGAAAACAACAAATCTTTTTACAAGTTTGTACCTTATTTTTGAAAAATAATATAAACAAGCCATAAAACAATCCTATTTACGTAAGTCACAAACATTAATTTTTCCCCATAATTAAACTTTAAAAAAAGTTTTAAATTTAAATGGACCATGTTGGAGTTATTGAAAATATTTACTATAATATTCAAGTTAACCTTCAACATTAAATTTTAACAAAGATACTTCATTAGTAATTTGTTATTAAAATTTTTAAATTTAATAATTAAATTTATTTATAAACAAACAATTGAACAAAATAAAAATACTTGATATATAAAATCGACTTACATATGCATAAGTATTATATTTAAAAAAAAAAAAAACTCAAAAAACAAATTAAACACAGGTTTTTTTTTCAACGATACCATCCAACACATATTAAGTAGCACAGTGCCACAGAAAAAAAAAGTAGGTTTCTCGATGGACCAGAATAATCAATTATTATTTCGACAGTTATATTTTTATGCTTATTCTACTCAGATTGAGTTCACCAAAGACAAAATATTTGAGCAACTAAAAAAAAAACTCTTAAAAAATTATACTTTACAAATATAACAATTTCTCGGCGACCGATATATTAAAGCGTATTTTCTATATTTTCATCGAGAAAATATAACAACATTTTTCTGAACAATAGCCGTTAATAATAAATGATTAACTGACGGAACTCGCTGTACAGATGTCAATTGTTACGCTATGTACTGTGAAAGTCGTCGAACGCAAGCCGGTCAAGCTTAAATTGTCAAATTTCGGTCACAGAGAAAAATCCGATTTAATAGAATTTAAACAATTTCATATAAATTGAATTATTTAAATGCGATTTTTAACGATTTAATATAATTTTTGATTTTTTTTTTTTTGCTGTCAAGTTTTTGTAATGTTCATCAAATAATAACAATGGTGGGAGATATTCAATAACAGTTCCCTTGCCTGCCGTTGACTGATATTACCAACTGGGAATCAATTAAGAAAATGAATTTTAAAAGAAAAAAAAAAACCCAGTAAAACGATAACATGACTAATAATTACTGTTGCAAGAGAAAGCGCCGTTCAAGCCGTCCAACGTTGCGCGTCATCGTTTTTAACGGTTTTTCCGCCCCTCCCAAGCCGTTCTGTATAATAATATGACTAATTACTGTATCTCGATCGTAGAAAAATTAAAAATAAATATAAAATTGCCCAAACTCGTAAACAACGTGAAACCGAGACAGAGAGAAATTGATATTAATTATTTGCAAAAACAATAATTAAAGCCATCTCGAGACAAAATTGCCGTGCGAAGATAGGTGCGACACAACGGCCGTCGGCGGTTCAAGACCAATTGATTTGTTTTAATTAAATACATAATAATATGTTCACTTACCATTTTAAATGGGTTTTTTTGTCGTTTAACGAGAGAGGAACGATAATGAAATCGAGAAAAACTTGTCGAAAAGTTTCTCCTTCGGGAATGAAACAAGAAGCGATCAAAGCGGCTTCTTTCACGTCCAAACACAAATTGACCGTCAACGGCGGACGCGGCCGGGTTGTATGCTCCGGACCGGGTCTGCAGCCCGACGGAGCGCTGTTCGGCCGAACCCGCATTGCGTGTGCGGCGGCGGTGCCTACGCGGCGCCGCGCCGCAACCGCATCCGCGGTGAGTCATCCGCGGGCCACTCACCCGTTAAGAATCACCCTTAAAAAATATACCCAAGTCCAGGGATGGTCTGAACGCGCGACATTGGCTAAGCCTTAAAACACCTTCTTGAAAAACGTGTATTTTAAATATTAGGATTATTAAATAATAAATACTCCACAATTGTTTAATACCTTTTTAATGTCTTTACTGTTTATAAAATTTAAAAAAAGAGTATTTTAAGTTTTTTTTAATAAAAAATAAATAGTATTTTAGTTTATTTTTTTTTTTTGACAGTATAAAGGTCTTGTAGTTGATGAGCTGTAGTTGTGTTAAATATGAGTAGGACTGGTTGCCGTTTAACAATACTTCGAATAACGAATCTGATAATTGTTTACACTTTATAACTTATAGTAGGTGAACTGAAAAGCTCTTATCACTATTTGTATACCATAATTTATATTTTGCGTATTATGCCCATCCCTGTGGAAAGCGATTATCGTCCAAACGTTTAACGCGTTTCTATTGCGACTAATACTAATCCGTTTTAAATAGATTTAAATTTGTATTGAAATCATATTTATGTTATTTTATGAGTGTTAATTGTTATTGATTACAACGATTAGAAGATAAAAATAATCTGAAAACAAGCTCGATTAAATAGGTAAACAACCGGTGCACCTGACACAACACAGTCGACAAATTATTTCAGATGTTTTCCCTAGCTTTTCAGCTCATTATATTTCCAGAGGCTATTTTTTTTTTTTTTTTTATATAAAAAATTGCCCATTTGTAAACCCCTTAAAAGTGATAATTGTGTTTACAATAGTGCTATTACATTGTTTGATAAATAAATTAACGATAAACAAAAGTTACCAAAAACACCACTCTAAATCTATAACCTTCATTCAGGTCAGACCTGAAAATATCTAAATACTACAAAAAAGAAATGAAGAAAAAGTATCCACCCATTAGGAAGAGAAAGGTGAAAGGCTTATAATGATATTTGCTGTCGTTCAACGTTTTATGCTGTTTTTTAAAGCACATTCCAAACATGTTTCAAAACTATTTTGACAATTTCGTGGCCTGTTACACTTAAAATTAAAAATATACGGTCATTTTAAACTGTTGTAAAGTCATTAATGGTCCAAATATATACACACTACATTATATAACCAATTGTTCTTCGTTTCTAGCTTCGACACCACTTCAATATTACTTTTGACGGTTATTGAGACGTTGTAGCCGTCTTGAACACTTGTCAAAAAACTTGATGAATAGCTAAAAAAAAAAAAAATCAAATCCTAATTTTATAATATACTTCCGCATTGGAGTTCATAGACTTTTGAGTTGTATTTATAACTGTAGCGTCTGCCAACAGATTATGGCGAGTCGCCTAAAACCAGCTTTATTCCCTGGAAACACATGCATCCCCTGGCAAGTGCTGGATAACATTTTAAAAATAGATAGGTACTCACAACATCGTACAATTGGTATTTAAAAGCAAGTATTCTCCATACAGCACCGCCATAAAAATTGAAAAAATATTAAAACAGCAATACAAAACGTGGTGTTTATACCGCGAATGAGTATAAATTAATTTAAAAAAAAAAACTATATTCACTAGAACAAGAGTTGTCTTTCATTTGTCAGGTCTTTGTGGGACACCCTGTATAATATACATATGCCTCTCCCGTTAAAAGGGTAATTAGCCACTGCACCTCCCTTGATAATTTTTTTAATACTCACATTTCCTTTGATTATTTAAAAAACTCAATATAATTTTTCCCCTCACGGCTACCCTATATTTTATACTCTGATCAAATTTAATTTCATGACAAAAAATAGTAAATTGTAAATTAAAAATGGCTAGTTAAAAGGTTATATCTTTTCACTAACCTTTGAGCATAATAAATCCACACCTTGGAAAAACTATCACAACAATATTGAACGTATATTATCAGACAAGTTATTTTGTGTTAACTCACTTAGCTTTTCCTGTTACAATGTTTTATCAAACATACATCGATTCTTTGAACACTACAAATATTACCCGAGTTAAAAAAACGCATTCTAATAAAAAAATATACACACAATGTGTTACTATTAAAAGGCCGTCTAATTTGAATACAATATTCATGTTCTCAAATATGAATAACTTATGGACAGATAAAAAGATTAAAATAAGAAATAAAACCAGTAAAAGCAAATAGTGAAGACATTTTTCACAGAAACCTGTACAGAATCAATCACTATGTACAATAGCTGTTTAAAAAGTTTAAATCAATTATAACAGTCAAAGCGTGCAATTTTTTTTTAATTTCTCTATATTCTAAGTAATTTTTCTAAACGTGTTATACTTCAAAAACTTCACACCAACAGAAATTGATTCTAATTTGTTCACTCTATTGGTTTGAAGTTTTTGATGTAAAAAACCGTTAGAAAAATTACTTAAATTACAAATAAATTGAAAAAAATTGCATGTTCAAGAAGAAAGATTTTAGATAATTCGTTTTGGAACTCAGTTTTGAAATTAATAGAAGTTTAACTCGGTGAACAACATCGCATTTTCGTTGGTTAAATTAAAACCGTTTCTAATTAATTAATATTACATTTTTGGGCACTTGTTATAACAATTTATTATAATATTATAAATACCGTTATGTTGACAAAACTGTGTAGATAATGAGTTTTGATTCGACAAACCATTTTTCTATTGTACCTATATTATAAATTCAGAGAGAGGATTTTTAGGTTTTTACTTATTCTATATTTATTGCCCTAACCTAACCTGACAACTCATTCTAATAAGAAATAAATACACAATGTGTTACTTTCGAAAGGCCGAGGCTTTTTGTTTTAATATAAATATAACTATTGGGTCCTTTGAAAAAAAGCACATTGATAATATTTAACTTAAAAATTCCATAAGGTGCTGGCTTTAATTTTGTTATTCGAAGTTTTATTTATGAGTATTTTTTAATTTTAATAATTATTACATTTTTTTAAACTAATTCTCGCAGGTTATTTTTCGAGTGCGCACATAAGTTCAAGTCAACCGCACAAGTAATTTCTTACTTACTGCACTTTGAAATAAAACCTAGTTAGACAGTCATCAAAGTCGACTAATTGGCCGTAAGTTCAACCTACTGATTTTGTATTTTTAATAAGCGATGGAAAAATATTATAATGATAATAATCACCATCTCGTTTATTACTACGTACAACAAAATAGGGCGATCTAGTCGATATAATAGTGTAACTGTTAGTTTAATCCAAAGCAGCAACATAGTACAAGTCGGACATTTTACACTAATCATCAGCAACCAAACAGTAGGTTAGGTTAGGTATATTGTATTTATTGACTTGAGTTGCAAAAAAAACTCATCCTATTAAAAAAATATAGACACAGTGTGTTACTTTCTGGATAATATACTTATTTACTTACTGGACTACTAAAAAAAAAAAATTGAATTTCTCATTAAACCCTATGATATTATATTTAGGTGGCCAAAAGAATCACCTTGTATGTATTTATATATATATATAATATATTGTGTGTACCTGTACAAGTTAAACGCGTGTACAAGGTGTTGCGGATAATGGCAACTGGCGAACGCCGTCCATAAATGGAATTGTTGGCCGGTACGTTGCCGAACAGCGTCGGTCACGCTGTAAACCAGTCATTCCATAATAATAACAATATTATTATGTGCACCTCTTTCTAAATCGCCGTCACGGCGTCCGACAAACGCCATAGACGGATCGATGTACGCCACTGCACACACACGGGGCGTTCACCGGATAAGGTCGTATTTTGGCTTCTTTTTACCACGCGGTATAGGTAGGTAATATTGGTGGGCGCAATGTGTATTATTGATATATTGTACACATAGGTGGGTACTTGTGTGGTAAGTATAACGTCCGTCCGATGGTCACCGCCAACGCCAAAAAAAAAAAAAAAACGGCACAACACAATAGTAGTTTCCTTGGAAAATAAATACTGTATTGCAAGTTTTAAACAAACTCATGTGCAAAATCGAAATCATACAACAAACACAAGTACAAAAAAAAAAAAAATACACAATACATTATACTACACATTGTTAATAGTAGTACTCGATTAGATAATATAATAAACCCAGCATCGAGTGTAAATTTGAGGACGTTTTAAACGATGGGAACGAAACGGGATTATAAGAAGTTAAAGACGATTGCATGCGGTTGGTTTTTAAGGAGTTTTGTATAGGCAATATTTAGGGAAAAAGTGGTTTTAATAAATTTTGATCGTGTCAATTCATTTACCGGTTACTTTGTATAAGCTTCGTGGTATTATTTTTAATTACAATTATTTTGTCTATGAGTGAAAACCATTTTAGTTAATATAACATACATTTTTTTGTTCCATCGCACAGCGGCTGAACCAGTGATCCGATAAGTAATCTGAAAACGGATTTGAATTTGTCATGAAGTTTACTTATGGATCGGTCAAGGTACTTTTTCGATATATTATTCCTACTGTGTGTATAAAACACGTTTGAACATTATATAAAATTTCAAATTTCAAAATCAAATTTAGAAAGGGTTAGGCCTGGATGGGACAATGAAAAAGGAGATGAGGAAAAGCACAAATGGATGGTAGACCGTGCAAAGTGCAATGTTTAAAGAGATGATAATAGAGAAATTGGGGGGGGGGCTTTATAATGAAAAGGGCTTTATAATGCAAAAAGGGCGTTTTTAACATAACATTTTTATTTAGTATAAAATGTAATTAAATTATTTACAAACAACTGATTTTTTTAAAATTAAAATCCTTTTCCAACACAACATGTAGTAAATTAGTCAAAGAACTAGAGTTTTTTTACAGAATTGAAATCGGACCATCTTAAATAGGAGTAATTTTGTCAGGCCTTTAGATCTAAAACACCAATCAAAATGATGTTTACTTGTTGAAAAAATTGTACAAGTTAAAAATAACACCTTGAAGCTTATACAAATTAATCTGTAAATAAATCGAAATGGTCGCAAATTATTAAAACCGTTTTTTTTCTTCCTATTTAAAACTCATAAAAAACCGCCCTCTTTCAATCACCTTAAAAAGTTAATAAAACTTGTTTTATGATACAGAAATTTCGTTTTAATATCTTTAAGACATAAACTAAAAAAATTCTAGTATAATAATTACATACGATTATTATTATTACTGAATATTGTATTAAGTCTCTTATAAATCTCAATCGAAAATACTTTTGGAAATATTTTAATAAAGAAACAAAATAGATTCAAATGAATAGTACCTTATCTTATAGGTACATTATAAAAATGAAGAATTTGAAAAAGGAAAATCTATTATTGATTTTTTTTTCTCCATTATTTAGCTAGCTACCGCTCATTATATAAGTAAGTAATATATAAGTATATATAAGTTGTAATTCCTTAGACTTTATATTTTGTAATATTGATATTTTACTTTTAGAAAACATTTTTTTTTTTTTTAAATAATATATTCAAGGCGTTTATAACGAAGAAAAACATGCTTTATTCTACAACTTAAAATGGGATTTACCTACACAAAAAAAAAATAAAGAACCAAACACTCACAAAATCTAAGGACGGATATTTTATAAACACTACATTGTCATGGTAAAATTATTGTTGTTCTTGTTGCAGAAAACCTTGATTCAGATACAATGGGAACTATTATTTACCATAATATACCACCCAACCGGGTTTTTATGATGAATTTCAGTAAATAGAAAAATACAAGAGAGAGAGAGGACTTTGCATTTTTAATTAGAATATATCTACATGCTTAAAGCTGTGAAATTTCAAAGTGCTTTCCATCTTATCTGTACACCTGTACAACAGATCAATAGGTGGTGTACTGAACTATCAATTCACTAGTTACTGACTAGGTACACAATAATATAATAGTGTACCTAGTAACCAGTATTGTTTTATTCTTGTAAACTATTGCAAAGAGGAAGTTTCCATAGTAAAAACGACTATCTTTAGAAAAAAAAAAATAACCTCATAAATTAGAAAGCTTCGGTGCGGTTAGCAACGTCCATAATAATTATTATAGGAAAAAACCTAATGTAGCCTTCACGCTACTGGAAATCAAGGAAATGTTAATTGGAAATTAAATCTTAGATTTCACGGTTGCTGATTAGTATAAAATGTGTAAACTTGTTTTATGATGCTGCTTTAGATTAAACTAACAGTTATAATATTATATCGACTGGATCGCCCTATTTTGTTGTACATAGTAATAAACGAGATGGTGATTATTATCATTATTTTTTTTTCTATCGCTTATTAAAAATACAAAATCAGTAGGGTGAACTTTACGGCCAATTAGTCGACTTTGATGACTTTCTAACTAGGTTTTATTTCAAAGTGCAGTAAGTAAGAAATTACTTGTGCGGTTGACTTGAACTTATGTGCGCACTCGAAAAATAACCTGCGAGAATTAGTTTAAAAAAATGTAATAATTATTAAAATTAAAAAATACTCATAAATAAAACTTCGAATAACAAAATTAAAGCCAGCACCTTATGGAATTTTTAAGTTAAATATTATCAATGTGCCTTTTTTCAAAGGACCCAATAGTTATATTTATATTAAAACAAAAAGCCTCGGCCTTTCGAAAGTAACACATTGTGTGTTTATTTCTTATTAGAATGAGTTGTCAGGTTAGGTTAGGCCAATCAAATATAGAATATGTAAAAACCTAAAAATCCTCTCTCTGAATTTATAATATAGGTACAATAGAAAAATGGTTTGTCGAATCAAAACTCATTATCTACACAGTTTTGTCAACATAACGGTATTTATAATATTATAATAAATTGTTATAACAAGTGCCCAAAAATTTATTATTAATTAATTAGAAACAATTTTAATTTAACCAACGAAAATGTGATGTTGTTCACCGAGTTAAACTTCTATTAATTTCAAAACTGAGTTCCAAAATGAATTATCTAAAATCTTTCTTCTTGAAAATGCAATTTTTTTCAATTTATTTGTAATTTAAGTAATTTTTCTAACGGTTTTTTACATCAAAAACTTCAAACCAATTGAGTGAACAAATTAGAATCAATTTCTGTTGGTGTGAAGTTTTTGAAGTATAACACGTTTAGAAAAATTACTTAGAATATAGAGAAATTTAAAAAAAGTTGCATGCTTTGACTGTTATAATTGATTTAAACTTTTTAAACAGCTATTGTACATAGTGATTGATTCTGTACAGGTTTCTGTGAAAAATGTCTTCACTGTTTGCTTTTACTGGTTTTATTTCTTATTTTAATATTTTTATCTGTCCATAAGTTATTCATATTTGAGAACATGAATATTGTATTCAAATTATACGGCCTTTTAATAGTAACACATTGTGTGTATATTTTTTATTGGAATGCGTTTTTTTAACTCGGGTAATATTTGTAGTGTTCAAAGAATCGATGTATGTTTGATAAAACATTGTAACAGAAATAGCTAAGTGAGTTAACACGAAATAACTTGTCTGATAATATACGTTCAATATTGTTGTGATAGTTATTTCAAGGTGTGGATTTATTATGCTCAAAGGTTAATGAAAAAAAAAAAAAAAAAACGCCAAAGGACAAAGTGTTTGCAGTTTATTTTTTACTTGTTGCCGAAGTGATAGTGACGTTCGTTTGGTTGAATTTCAATTAATACAAATAACTGTAAAGCAAAAAATAATGAAATGTATTTTAATAATTGTTTTGCATATTATACTGGTTTTGGTGTTTTATGTTCATCCGGCAGACAATCAAACCACGACGACATACCGGACCACGGGCGGCAACCTGACCAAGGACCAAAATATGGCCAGTAATAATAATTCTAAAGAAATGTTATTAAATACCAGGACTATGTTCATTATGAACCCTCAACCCATTGTAGAATGTCCACCAGATCACATGTATGTGCGAGGCATATGTCGAAAAACCATAAGAAACCTAAAATAAAAAGTCTGATAATGTATAATTTCATATTATTATTTTTTTTTTGAAGGGGATAATATGTTCAAATGTATAATATTAATTTCATCTCTTATCGTCAAGTTAAAATGTGTTAACAATTACTTTAATTTTCACAATTTATTAATTCCTTTAAAATGTACGAAATAGTCGAATTTTACTCTAAACGTACAACTAGTCGTATCAAACTGGTATACAATGTTAAACAACTTAATAAAATAAACAAGCAGTTTTTTTATTTCAAAAAATTGATTTCTAAAATATACCGTTTGTTTTTTTTCTTCAAAAACGCCTTCTATTAAAACTAAATGTAAGCAATCATTTACTACTTCAATTCTAGGGTTGTTAAACTACCCTTAAATTTTAAGTAAACACTCGGTATGTGGTACAAACAACCAATAGTGTCCTAACTTTAGATGTCGTGTAAACTTGACAAGTAAGTGATTTACAATAGTGATTGATTTCCTATAAAAAAAAAATCATGGAATTTTGTACACGTTTCCATGAAAAATGTCTTTACTATTTGCTTTCACTGGTATTTTATTATTTTTATCTGTCCATAAGTTATTCGTATAATATAATATTGTTATATTATAATATAAATATCCTTTTACATATTTTCCATTTCATTCTGGTATGCACGTTAAAAGCTCGATTATTATTTTAAAATTTGGAAAATCACCAACATCAAAGTTCTTTACCGATTTAAAAATAAATGTTCATAATTCTGATCATTTTTTTTAAGGATTGAATTTTTTCATTGTGTCCTACACATTCTTTAATAATTGTGAATCCAATTCTTGTCAATTCAATCCAATGGGATCTAACCGTACTGTGAGAAAAATTAAAATAGATTCTTATAAGTCTTATCTAGATAACGTCTTGTGCCACAACCATAGAAGACCATAATATTACCTATTATCTTCTATGTGGTTATGACCATGTTGTAACCTTAACCGCGGTATATTACTTTGGAAACACCAGCTTATCAACCGGCTACCATCGAAACGGTTATAGTTGATCGTTAATTGATATTATCTTGTTAATGTGAAATTTTCATCGTCTTCAGCTCTAAAAGCAATGTCTTCCAAGATGTCAAAACAAAAGTACTATGCTGTATGTTCCTATTCAGTCGATAGTAACAGTGTAAACAGTCGCGTCAGATATTTATTATTTAAATGAAGAGTAATTATTTTGAAGTTCAAAGGTGATAAATAATTTTCGTTAAGCACAATTTAATTTAAAAAAATGGACATTTCATAGTTAATTTTTTAAACGAAGTTTGATCCTTTGATGTATTCAAATTCAAGCCAGTATACACGACGAATTATTGGTAATTATAATACTGCGTTTATCTTCTTAAGACATATTAAGGGCCAGTCTCACTTTTGACAAATAGGATTTTAAGTTTTTAATTTTTCTGTTGGGCTCCAAGTTTAAAAGCTCAAACTACTTTTTGTAGTAGACTTATATTGTAGTAGGCTTATCTAGTTTATGTAAAAGGTTTAAAAATGAAATATCAAAACCAAAAGATGTATAAGTTCTATTTTCTGATACTTGGTTGCACAAGGGGTCGTAGCCCTCTCGTAGAAAAATTTACAAATAAAAGACAGCTGTTACTGTAGCCCCTCTAGTTTAGACACCTGGTATTGGTATGACACTGCTTTATATTTATTATTTATTTGTAATTAGTAAGTATTTATTTAAATAGTAATATTTAAAAATTTGCACAAATACATAATAAATATAAGTAGACAATAAAAACCTAAACATTGGCAAGAGATTTATTGCAAAAATAAATTAATACTTTAACTAAAAAAAATAATGACACAGTGTACAAATATAGGATAAAACATTTAAGCACATGATGGACAAAGAACCATCATAAATTTCTGCACGGTCCATATTAAACAATTAGTTTACTAAAAAAGAGAAAATTTTCATTTTTAACAACCAAATCGGAATAAATTAATTCTGAACAAAAGTTTATATCACATCAAAATATTATTATAATATTAATATCGAGTGATATTTTTTTATCTGAAATTAAAATAGGTTTTATTATTTTTCAGCATGCCATCAACAAAATATTAAGTGAAATAGTCATGGAAATATTTAATCGCAAATCCAATAAACGAGACCAGGTAAATTCATTGAACCGTCGATTTCATTGTGATATCTGTTCTAATTCTTATAGTCGAAAAGATACTTTAAATTTACATAAAAAGAAACAACACCAAGAAACGTTACACTATTGCGATGAATGTCAAAATTCATTCATCAGACTGACAGATTTAAACAGGCATAAATTGACAAAACATAATAAAGCAGACACGAGTGATATGAACGGTCAAGACGAAAAATTGATCGGGCAACCTTCTGTTAAATTGAACGATTTTTACTATTGCGATATAAACAGTTTAAGCTCTGCACAGTTTAGTATTTGTGACGTTTGCTGTAAATCTTGTGTTAGCATGTCTGAATGGATTGATCATATGAAAATGCATTACGAACCAGCCAAAGTAAAAAATAACAATTGTTACTACAAAGAATATCCAAAGTTGTTTGGCGACGTGCCTTTGTTTGATGATGGAGATTTTACATGTGACATGTGTGATTTCATGTTTTTATCGCTAGAGGATTTACTTGAACATCAAAAATGTCATTATGAAATTACATCAGGAAACAATAATTGTATTTGTGATTTATCTTTTTGGTACAAACAAAGCCAAAATAAAAATAACCCAAATATTAGTAGGAAGTCGACTGTTAACAACCCGCTAGAAACACATATTAAAGAAGAGACTACGTCAATTCAACCATATAGTTCCTCAGCAGATACTCAAAACGATTTTGCGGGCCATGAAGGCATACAAGTGTTAAAAAAGTTATTTGTAGGTGGACAAACGTTCGATTGTGAATTTTGTCAAACAATTTGTGATAACCCCGATCATTTAGATATGTATCGATGGACGCACGGTGATAATTATGGATCTGAGGACGTGTATGAATGTTACGTGTGTAGTGAACGTTTTTCAGACAAAGTGATTATGAAGATGCATGAAAATGAACATATCCAAAAAATGATATTTTAAATTTATTCTCAAAAAAAAAAACAGCTATTAATATTATATTATTATGTGTATATGTATATTTTTGTATTTGTATCTTTAAAAAAAATATTTTAATTAAATAAGAATAATATTTTTTCTGCGTGAAGTGTAATTATTTACTAACCATTGATGGGTTGTGACCAAAAACTACCTACTATGTAAGCTCCGACTTTGTTCTCAATTTGTTCTCGTAGGGAAATATACAGATTTGTGCAATACTAAGTGGCTGTTTATTCACATATTATCGTTGCAACTATATAACGGATATTCGTACAAATATTTATGGCATACACATTGTACACAATTTATTATTATTTTTTGTTTAACTTAGTTCAATAAGAATAGCTATCACCACAGATAAATTTATAATAAACTAGAATTATAGTGATAAGAATGGAAGTCTGTCTATCAATGTTTTTTTTTTTACTCTTTATCACAAAACAACTATTAGGTATATCAGTGTCTTGTGATAACCACAAAATGGACGCCGGTATCCTCGGGCGGCCGTGAAATTCTTACGGGAGGACGTCGGCAGCCATGTTGTAAAAATTGATAAAATGAGTTGTTGGTATACCTGTAGCTTCTTTGTTGTTTTGCCGGTAGCCGACCATCACAACAACATTACATATTATGATAACATTGATAACGGATAAGCACAAGTTTTCGCGTTCTGCCGAATCTGTTTTGGGACGCTTTGCTCGGCTGTTAAATTTAAATTTCTAGTGTCAAGTACTGAATATTGATTAAATATAAAAATGCACGGTTCCCTTATGGTACACGGAGCTGGTGGCATCCCGGATAAATCGTGGCGGCCGAAATTCGGAATCGTAGACACATCGTACGAATCCAACATTACAATACAATGGACGTTGCATAATTATTATTAAAACAATTGTATTTTATTATTATATAGGATGGGCCAAATTACTATTGAACTCTATTGGGATCACGCTCCGGAAACTTGTCGCAATTTCGCAGAACTCTTGAGACGTGGATATTACAACAACACTAAATTTCATAGAATCATTCGAAATTTTATGATACAAGGTAATGTACTATGTGTATTGTTACAACCAATTTAAAACATATTCGTATCAATTTCCTTCTTTCTATTTTTTTACAAAAAGTGTGCTTAACACATTCGCTGCATCAAAAAATACAATTTTTGCCGTGTTGCGTCAACAATTTAGAGCACATTAATTGAACAGAACTGCTATCGGCACTATTCGACAGACGCACCAATAAAACGTATTAGATATAACTCGCTCAAAATCGTTATTATTCTTATAAAATATTGTTAAGTATTGTATAACAGTCGTTTGATAATATATTCATGTCGTGTGTAGGATTTTCCAGACGTAATTGCATACAATATGTACCTTATCAAAATTTTGTTATTAACTTCATAAATAGTTTAATAATATAAAATTTTAATTTTTTATATTTTGTTGAAAGTTAATATTCTCACTCTGTGTTTAAAGACTTTAGAGACTGTTTGCGCAGGTGTATCTGAAAGTAACCCGTTTTGGCTTCTACACTGTATCACTTGTGAGATAGAGTATAGTATACTATTATCCAAACTTTGAAAAATTAAATTTTTTCTTACATTTTAACCCTCGATATGTACATTAATAATGTAACAAGTTGTAGAATAATTTAATTATTAGGTTGGTCAAAATTATTTTATTGAACGTGCAAATAACTCAATTTAGGTTGATCTACTTGAAAACATTTTACAACAAAATAATTATAATAATAACAGTCAAATATAAAATTAAAAAATTTCATTGCATTTTTACACTAATAAAAAGTCTTTGGTAATTTTTTTTTTAGGTGGCGATCCGACGGGAACAGGAAGAGGTGGCACGTCCATTTACGGTCCTCAGTTTGACGATGAAATCCACGAAGATCTTAGACATACAGGTTAAATGAATCGCTTAATTACATTTTTTTTTTTAGAAAAATGTAGCTATTTAGTATAATATTAAAAAATGATTTTTATTTTAAAGGTGTAATATTTAAAAATGTTATCGTAACTGTTTAGGTGCAGGAATTGTTTCCATGGCGAATTCAGGCCCCAATTCAAACGGCTCACAATTTTTCATTACCTTGGCTCCTACACAATGGCTTGATAAAAAACACACAATCTTTGGTATGATATCGGAAATTTAACCGTTTTTCATTACGAGGTTATAAATGTGTGTATTTTTACAGGACGTGTTCATTCGGGAATGAACGTTGTTAAAAGGATGGGCATGGTAGAAACGGATAAAAATGATCGACCCGTCGACGATGTTAAAATATTGAAAGGCGGTGTACAAGTATAAATAATGATGTCTTATTAGTACTTGTCCTATTCTCGCAAACTAACTGCTGTAATGATTTAAAGTAACTTCTATAATGTAATTTGATTCCATTATTTTTATAATTTTTGATAATAAAAATATGTACATTTTTGAACTCGTATAAGCCGATTAAGAATCGAAAACTTAAGAGCTTATATATAAATTGTGTTTACTGTTGGTATGATGATAATGTTAAGACAAAATTTCAAATAAATAAGTCATCCAGCTCGAAAAGTCAATTTATTAACCTAGTTTTGGGTGTTTCTCTACTCTTTTTGAGTAACACTCTCTTGTCGTATTATATTATGTTGCCGTAGAGTGTAAGTTTTACGCTACAATTTGTTTCTTTTTTTCAGAAAAACCGTTTTTCCCCAAATTTTAATATTTGTTTTTGAAAATTTTGTAGTATTACACCTTTTTTTTTATTTGGCTATAACAAAATCGTATTTATAATTTGATAAAGCAAAGGAAGTGTACAAATGGTGTGAACACATAGCATGGGTTTCAAATTAACGACTGACGCGCAATATTTGTTGGTAATTTTTCATTTATCTATACAATTATTAAAGTAATAATAGCATAAGCACAATCACTCATGTATGAAATAATAAGCCCATAATATATGTCAATAACAAAATGTTTAATAATCCCAAGCTATATCCTGTCGGTTCGACCGCCGCTTGGACTTTTGTCGTGTACACTAGTGTTGTAAAGAACATTTGTAACATGTAGTCATATTATTGATTATTAATCTTTTATTATAATATTCTTTTAACAATATTTAATTTTGAAAAAATTCCACTTTAATACTTACAAATATAGTGCACTCAAAATAAGTACGTGAACAAAATTACGCCCTTGTACGGTATGATCGAATGACCATCCGGTAGTACGATAATATTAACTTTTCAAATTAATTTAAAAATACCGACAGAAATTATGAAATAACATTTCAAAACGTACGTTCCCAATAAAAAAAAAACCAAATATAAGGGGTGAGGATAAAAATGTACCAAGTATATTTACAAATATAGTGAAATGTGCACTTACCCAAGTATTGTTTTGTTGGTCCAAGTCAGTACTTTATTGGACCAAAAAGTTCACACTGTCCCTTAAGAAAAAAACAGCTAATAAATTTCTATAATATGTTTTCTATTTAATGTAAATGCTTTGTTTGTCTCAATATAGTAAAACGTATTCATTATTGGTGAAAAATTTATTAAAATTGAATGTCTCTGAAAGTTACTGTGCAAATCACTTACTTGTCATGCCTACTTGAAACACAGAATTGCTTACATTTAGCTTGAGCGGTAGGCAATTAAAAGAACAAAACAAATGGTAAATATATTACAGATTATAAAAAAAAAAACGCATTGTTCATTAACGTTGTACATGATTTTTGTTTAGAGTAGAATTATTCGACGATTTCGTAAACAAATCAACAATTAAGATGTGTCATGCACTATTGCGTGAAAGTAAACTTTGACAAAATCGATGAAATGTAGGTGACACATATTATTCGATGTAGAAATTGTTATATTTTTTTAAAATCTTTTTTCGGTTCTGATTTGTTTGTCTGCTGTTGTACATGATGGTTTTCCGACACATGCCACGCACTTTTCTGTGGTTTGGTGGACAATCCACGGGACGATTGTTCATAACTATCATAAACCTGGTGTTCAAATGCGTTTCTTCGGAATCGTTACTGGCCAGAATATTGGTCCGGATGTCCGTGGTCCGGTCGGTGGTGGTAGTGTGTTTTTTCGACGAACAAGTACACAACAACGCCGCCAACAAAAGCAGCATTTGCAAAACGCATACGCGAAACTTCATTTTTTTTCCTTCTTCTTCTTCTTCTTCTCCAATTTATACCTATTTTGTTTTGTCAATAATTGCCAGACTCGACCGAACGCGAATGCCCGCTGTGTCACTTGCTGGCAAAACGTGAACTGCTAAATACGCTTTATCTATTGACCTTTGAGCGTATTATTTATTAGTACCTCGCCAACGTTAATAATAATTAATAACGTCACAACGTTAATTGAATAGGTTATCGAATTGCGAGATGATTATAGTAGTTTCATAGTTCAAGGTTGTGTACCTTGTAGGAAAAACCCGGTTTTGCGTTAACTGCATAGTACTTTCATGTACAGGACCAACGAGGCGAAGGTGGGGGGGGGGGACATGTCTTGACCATTAAGTATATATATACAATAGGGTGGTTAAAAAAAAAAAATTGTTTTATTATTTTTTGTTCTCCTCTCGAGAATATACTATTTGGATGAAAAGTAATTTTTTTTAGAACTTTTTTAACCCATTCCTAGATGTGGTTCGAGTCGATTTTATGTCCAAAAAAAATGTAGATATTTATGGACTTTTTTTTAATAAAACAATTTGTCCAAAAAAAAAAAATCTTTTATATGAAAATTATCAGCATAAAAAAAAAATGTTGATATTTACTTGATAAAAAAAAAAAAAATACGAATTTGCTAATGCTACGGACCAAAATAGTTGGAAATTTTTGATACCTTGATAAAAAAACCCACAAAACTATCCTGAACCATTTTTTTTTTAGAATATAAAAAAATTCTTCCATATTCTCCATTTACTTACAAACAAAATCATTACAATAACATAGTACATTTTTTTTTAACGCTCTTTCGTTAAGACTTGTGTTGCTGAAATTAAAATAAAAACATTTAAAGCGTATGAATATAAAGTAACAATATTGAAATATTTCCATAGTAAGTTTGAACGTACAAAATAAATTATGAAACAATTGAATAATATACATTTTGGGCCATTGTACACAATTTATTATAAAAATATCTTATAACTAATGAGTATCAAATACTATGTGAAAATATTTTTATATTAAATTTGAATGTACATCATTCATTATTTAAAATTAGTTATAATATTATTATGTATCTATAAATACATACTATGTATTATATTCTACATTTGATTTCTAAACCTATTAGAGTTGTGTATTTGAGTGCTCTGATTGGCCTAGTATATTTTTGTGGCGGCAATTTCAAATTTAAAAAAACTTTACTTAAACTTAATTTTAAACCTGCAATTTCCTCTTAGACTGAAGCCTGCGAACGTAAGATACTTTTTAGTTTAGCGGAGCGAATGCCAAAACACTCGGAGACCTGCCGTTCTTATCAATACTAATTCGACCCGCTGATAAGAAACTCGTCATGGACATTGGTAATTTGTGCAATTCGGTAAAAGTGGTAGCAACCTTCACAAACTCCATTTAAAGATTGTTATTAAATATAATTTAAATTAAATCGTTATAATTATCCGGAAAAAATAGTAACAATAATAATAATAATATTTTTAAACCTTTTTATTATTTATTTTGTTTTATTTAAATTTGAAATTGCCGCCATAAAAATATAGGCCAATCAGAGTTTGACACTACCCCCGGCCACCTCGCCCTACCGCGTCTAGGAAACATGGCGTCCATCCTGTGTTAGCGTCTTTTTAAGCGTCCCACTTGTTCCCTTAGATATTGAGATTTTCATGTTGATAAAAACTTTAATATAGTTCTTCTCTCAGATATTGATATTTCTTGAAAATGTTTTCCAGTTACTATATATATACAAAATGACAGTTTAGGTACGTTTAACATTAATTTAAATTCGAATTAAAAAAAAAAAAAACAAATACATATATACATAATGTATAAATCCAAGTATATGATTAAATAGGGATTTATTTCTAGAATTAAAAGAATTGATTTTGAAATTTAAACGTTCAACTCGTTCAGTACAATCAATTTGATCAATAAGTAATTTATATAAAAGTTTTAAGTTAAGCAATCGAAATATTTTATTTAATGACATTATCTTAAAAGAATTGCTTATATCGCCATATCCTGAATGAGTGCGTCTTGGAAGACCACATTTATACCATAAATGTCTTAAAAAAATTATTTTGAATAGAATTTAAACATTTTATTGTGAAATATTTTACGAGTGCCAAATCAAAGAAGCATATTTAAATTCGGATCGAACTAGAGAATAATATAAAACTTTTAAGGCTGATTCGTTATTAAAATCTGTACACATACATGCGTTTAATCAAGCCTAATTTCGTATAAGATTTATTTTTTAAACTATCAACATGATATTTAAAAGAAAGTTTAGAGACAAAAAAAACACGTAAGTCATTAATTATATTTTTTCGAGACAGGTTTAAATTATTAAGGCAGTAGTTAAAATGTAGTGTATTTTTCTTTAAAGAAAATGAAATAGTGGCACATTTATCAATATTCAATATCATATCATTATCAGCACACCACTTATACAAATTATTGAGATCTTCTTGGAGTTCTTTAGCATCATTTAAACATTTAATTTTTTTTATATAGTTAAGTATCATCTGCCAATTATAAACAGTTAGAATATTTTTTGGTTTTAGTTATATCATTAAAAAAAATCAGATAAATGGTTCTCATACACACAATTTGACACAATACTTCACTAGTTGGAAAATCGTGTTGAAGTGTGAAATAAAATCGATTTATGGTTATTTGTTAATTGCTTATAATATCTACAGTGTTGCATCAAAGCGTTTGATGGTTCTTATATTATAATGTCACTTAAACAAATTCTATGTAATTTAATTGTACAATTTAGTAACACACTTGAATTATTGTAATACTAGAACTTATGGGCTAAATATTAATTGATTAGTTAAACTGCTTTCAAGTGATTTCATTTTGACTTAACGATGGGATTTTTGATTATTTCGGCTACGTTTAAAAAATTACAGAATATTGTATTTTTAGGTTCAAAAACAACGTGTTAATGTTAAGAGGTATTTTCATAGCAGTTTTAAATTTCTGATATATCTACTTGTATTTTAATGACTTTGGCCTAGCGGTTAGAATTTACCGCTAGTCTAAACACAAAAGTACAAAAATGTAAAAATTCTAATAAAAATATATTAAAGGCGTACTAACAATGCTTGCTATTATGTCGACCGAAAAGGTAAAATCTAAACGTATTATGCAGAGTTGCAATTGTAAATTTTTTAACTTAAAGTGGGATTATTTTGTTCGTTATGTTTACTTATTTACATTACTCTGGTGTAGTTCAAACTTCTGTTATAAACATTTAGTTGCAAAAAACGGTTTTCTGCATTCTCGTAGGTGCAAAGAATGTTTTACCACAAGATATGATTGTAGAAAATATTAAAACATATTATAAAAAATTAAACACAATAAACTAAAATTCCAAAATTATTACAATTTGATTTAAACGGTTAGTTTTTGTACACGATTCGTGTTAGTCCCCCTCCTCCCATGAATACATTTGTGAAATTGATCATAACAAAATTCTCTTTAAAAGTATAGTAAAAATGTATAATTGGGTTTTATTAATATTAGATTTATAATTAGGAAAATAATAAAGTTATGTTCGCAACGAGGAAGGGAACGGAAAGCGCTATTTATTAAGGGACATAAGATAGGCAATACTATTAATGTTTTTAATAAATAAAGATGACTTCCTTAACATACAATTTTTAAAACCATTTATCCTGTATTTCATTTATGTACAAACTTTACACTATTTATCCTGTGGTATCTTTTTTTTTGTGTATTATGTCATGAATCATAAAACGACATTCATTTTTTATTTTATTTTTTATAATAGAGCGTATATGAGAATCACAGCAATTTACATTGTGGTTGTTATGCTTTGTTGTATACTTTTGATACATAGCAGCTATAGCTGGGCTCATATTTGTTGTAATAGCAGTTGTTTTTATCATCGTTAAGGTTACTTCCTTAACATAAAATTTAAAACTATTTATCCTGTATTTCATTTATTTACAAACAGTAAACTATTTATCGATTTTAACTGTATCTTCGTCTTTGTTTGCGTGAGGTTATTCAAATCGCTCTTATTTTCAAAAGGTCCGGAAGCAAACGTTATGGTTTTAAGTCAGAAAATTATTAAGTATTTAAATAAACCCTTAGCCATAAAAATAATACTTTATAGTGTATTTCAATATATTTTCTGTCTTTGGTAGTCAGCAGTCTGTCAAGCAGTCTACGTGCAGTCGTTCCTACATGGCTGTCTATCTTAGTAGTACGAAATTAAAAGTAACCATAACAAATGGTTAGTTTATTTATGTTTTATGAACAGAGTAAATATATTAACTTGGGTACAGTGAATATATTACGCAGAAAAGAATAGATCTTGAGAGAAAGATCTCACATCAGTGGTATGTAATATCTATGCACGTATTTTAATTAATTTTATTCGTATCGGATGTGCCGACGAGTTCATATTGTTTTCGTTAAATTAGGCAGAAAATAGATCATTTTTGTTTTTAAAAATGCTTTAAATCGATCCGTAAAATATGGTAAAAATATTAAGTATTTGTTTAAATCAACTCATAAGCAACATATGTCATTATAATCGTGAACTGTTTATTGTGAATTACATTAAATTGTAAATTAACAATTATAAGTGATAACATTGGTATATAAGTGTATATAAGTGCAAAATGTAAATATTATTTAAATAAAACAAAAAAAGTACATTTTCATTGTCAAAGAGTTACTCGTAGTGGTTCTAGTTTGAGTGGCATCATACCGCCGATGGTGATTTCGTACCATTTCATCCCAAATTTTCTAATTTCCTTGGTTCCTCTACTGTTAGCTATTATACACGAACTACCAGAGGTAACAACATTTCGTGAAAACCATAGAGGGTTATAGTTTTTTGCACTTAGAAAAATCGCAATGAAACGACACGTCGAACGTACACCAGGCAAATTGCTAACTAAAAAATAATAAAACAATCATCTACGTTACTTGAAAATAAAATTACAATAGAAAGTGCATGGCGTCTTTTTGAGCAGCTATTTTTATTATGTGTTAGTAGTGACTAGGTAGTATAAAAAAACAAAAAATGTTTTCTCTAGTTATCACTTATTATGTTAATTGTTCAATATTATCATTAGTTGCATCCTTGATATATTGTTATGAATTAACAACACATAATAAATAGTAGAAGTATTGACGTTAAAACGTAAAATAATTCTATTAATATTATTACAAAAAAATTACATTTTAGTAAAAGAATCTAATCAAGGTCTATAATATACAGATACGATTTGTGTTGTTTGGGTGTTCTGTAATTTGAATACAGTAAAATAACAACTAAATTTGCATGCACAAATGATATAAATACAGTGAAATATGAGATATTTATGTCTCTAAAGTATACGTTGGAATAATAATAATTATTTGTTTTAACTGGTTTTTGTGTACCTAAAATAATGCTCCAGTAATCATAGAATATCATGATTACATTACACTCTTTTTTTACTCTTATATTTACTTATTAACCGGTTCCACATTCGTTTTAAAGCTTCCAGAGTAACAGATCTTCTTTGTTCTGCTAGGTCTACCAAATGGTATGATGCAAAATCTGTGAATTTATTAAATGACCGTGTTCATATATATAGACACGGTGATCCACATATCGTGACCTACTCAATATCTCATAGGGTTTAATAAGACATTCATTTTTTTTTTCACATTGCTTTTTATACAATGTAATCTTAATTTTTCACAATTTTTTTTTATTTTTACCCCCTACCAACTTTGATAGTTTTTTTGAAAGCCACTTTTGAAAGTTATAAGAGTTTATAAGTTATGATTGGAGGGGAAGTGCGGTTTGGAAAATGCGCGCTAATAAAAAAAATAATACACTCCACTTTTCTCTTGCCCTACACTTGAAACATCAATTAATTGAAAAATAGCTATCTGAAACTGGTTATCGCTAGTCAACACTTTTACTTGTTTTACATGTAAAAAACCAGGTCATACATCTACTCACTGTAAATAATTCGCTAAATAAATCTATATACTAAAGAAACCAAAGTAACTCAGAAACTCCCTACAATACTACTTTCTCCCAATCAAATACACCAATCAACTAGACAGCAACCACATAGATCTTGATCAACACACTACTCAGTCATAATCCAGATATTGAAGAAAAACCCCAAAATACGAGCACACTAAATAATCCTTCAGTAAAAACTCTTTCACCCCAACAATCCAAAAGACCACCATCATCATCTAGCACCTCAAGTCACCAACCAAATATAAATACAACCAATATAACACTAATGGCGTCATCCCCTAAAATTCTTCACTAAACCAAAAAATTAAAAAAATTCTTCATTACAAAACTTCTGTCAAAGCATACACGACACATTAAAACTTGCATCGAAGTACTTTGAAAGAGGAAAAACCCAACCAATAAGCTACAATGAATTCAAAAATCTAATACAAGATCTCCAACAATGTACAGACCCAATTAATATCATACACAACTATTGTAATGACACAAAACAAATACTAAAAATTATAGATTATGTATATATAATATATAACAGATCGTAGCCTTAAATTTGCAAAAACGAAATATATCAAAAAAATTAAACCCAATTGAACACACAACCCGTCCATGTAGACTATACTACAGTCCTCACAAATTAAAATAATGAACAACTTAATCCAATGGTTTCATTATTATGGCTCCACGATCTAAGGTATTTCAAAAGACTCATTAATATAAAAATATTAATAACACAAACCAACCCTGTCGTAATAAGTGTCCAAGATACCAGCTTAAACCACTCCAATTCATCCGAACCAACAGGATACACCAGGTCTCACAACATCCGTTCAAACCCCCGGAGAGCTAGCGGGGGAGTATCCGCACTTATTAAGTCTGATATTTACTGTGAAAAATTACAAACTTCATCGTCAATAGAAAATATATCCACTTTAATACACCTCTAACAAAAAATGTGTAATATTTATGCACCAGATTGCTCTCCCCTAAACTTTAAGAACCTTTGAACCTTAATAAGCCCACTTCCACCTCCTTTTATCATCCTAGAAGACTTCAATAGCTGCAACATCATTTGGGGTAGAAAATCTACCTAAACATGAGGTAAAACAGTAGAAAAAATACTCGAAGACGACAATTTATTCTTTCCAACAATGAACCCACACATTATAACGCAGCAAACGGCTCCTTTTCAGTCATAGATTTGACTATAGCCGGGTTTTGCTGAGCTGGGTATTATCTCAGCCTCAATCTAAAATGGAATATGATTAACTCATAAAAGCAGTGGCCAAACAAAAACTAAATATGGAATCTGAACAACCGAAATTTAAAACTATATAGATAATTGCCTAGGAAATATCCCAGTAAGCATCAATCCAGATTATATCAATGAAACTATCAACACACTTACATTATCTTCAATGAAGCCGCTGAAATTTCAGTTAGATATGAAAAACACTTTATCAGACCAAAAACAGTACCTTGGTGGAATAATGTCTGTGCAGTAGCAATAAAAGGACTCCAAGGCAGAAAAAGCCAAAGTTCTGGACCAGATGGTATACCGTTTATTTTCTTACAAAAACGTTTACTGCTCAGCACAACACAAACCCTACTAAACATATATCACACAATCCGGTCATCAGGTAACTTTCCTTCCAGCTGGAAAACAGCTATAACTATTCCAAACCCAAACCAAATAAAGACAAGTCTGAGCCCGAACATTGTCATCCAGTATTATGCACAATGAGTAAAACACTTGGAAAATAGTTGACACTAGAATCAGATGGTTCTTAGAGTCAAACAAACTCTTAGCTAGAGAACACAGTAGTTTTAGAAAACACCGTACGATAAAAGACACCGCTAACTATTACAACGTTTCATAAAAACTCAGTCCAGCTTCCAATAATAGAGACTATTCGCATAAAAACATCAAACTATCCACACTGGAAAATAGACCTTCAATCAAGAGGCAATACAAAATATTATCAATAAACTTTAACAAAACAACCGTCATTAGTGACTATCTCAGTGTTTTGGATACAGTCAAAAACATCAAATCAAACAAATACAATCCTCTATCTTTTCTCAATTAACTCAAATTATCTTACTTTGGGTACCCTCTTATACTAACATCTCACAAAATGAAACAACAGATAAAGCAGCAAAAGAATCATCAATAAAACCACATATACCACTGATTTTTAATGTTCCATACAATGACCTAAAAACACTAATAAACGAGCTATGTGCAAACAAATGACAAAACCATTGGGATAACATAGGAATTAATAAACTGAAATCATGTAAAACATAAAAAAAATGTTACGTAACCCCTCATATTCCGAGAAGAGAATCCGTATGTCTAACAAGACTTCGAATTTGCCACTCAAACCACACTTCACATAGATTCCAACTATTTGGGATCGGTTACCTTTTTCCTAACCCTGCACTCAAAATTATACCCACAACATATACCAGTAGTCCTCATCACATTCTCAATTGCACCCAGCCAAATATGTTCATTTTCATCTCCGATACACTAATTTTTTATTGTATTTTCCATTCTTTTACGGACCGAAGCTACATGATCGACTTTTGGTATAAATACAAATTTATATTCTAAAAAAGTCTTTAAGGCTATTCAAAATTATCAAAAAGTTCGTAATTACTTGGGTCAGGAATATCAGGAAAAGTAACCTCTGTAACAAATATATCAATAGTCAATTTGTTACACAGTCAATAAAAATAATTTTTATACATTAACTATACAGTTACTCTTAAACTATGATTAATTAATACAAAATTTAGTATTCATATGAAATTATTTCTAAAAACAACGTTTCAATTTATGTTTAGATTTTATATTTACGTGTGTGATCACGTATTTGGGATCGTAGCGCGTCCTGGATTTCCTCCAAATCTGTAAATTTACATAAAATAAATTGTAATTATTTATTTCTTGTGATGCAAACCAATATAAATAAATGTATGCATATTGTATTAATATTATGATTAGCCTCTATAATATGTATAGAATAAAATTAATTTGTGTAAACTACTGTAAATATGGTATATAAATTTGTAGTTACTAGTCCAGCTTCTATTATAGATAAAGTCTGAAAATAAAACAAAAACATTGCGTACTCAACGAATATCAAACAACTGTATGGAATTAATTCTATTATATTCTTTAAAAATATTACCAGGTACAGCGAACATATTATTCATATATTCTAAAATTAACATAACATAAATTAATGTTATGTAAATACCTAAAAATGTAATGTATTATAAATACCTAAACTAAAATTAGGATTATCAACAATTTTTTCAATCACATACTCCAATACGTCTGAAATAAAAAAAAATGTTTAAACAAACCCTAAATAAATTTACAAATTATCAGAGTAAACACATGCTTACAACATATATTTTGTATTGACAATTTACCCAACCGCTACTCCCCCTATTAGATTGAGAAGTCACTGCCTAAGGCCAAGTGTACTAAATTATAAAAACCTCTATACTACTATTAAATATAATTATAAATTATTTGATATTTATATATTTAACAAGTCAGACAGTGTTTAGAAAATTGATTCTGTATACCTCGTCCACCTTTCTAAACTGGTTTTAGAAACAATAATTTTTAATTTATAAATAGCTCGACCGTAAGCCAAACATAACAAAACAAAAATGTATTAGTGAATTAGTTTTAAATATATATTACTTTCCACCAAACCAGTTTGTCCGTTATAGACAGTCATTTCATTAGCACAGTGTAAGTGGTAAGCTGTAATGCATAAATAAAAAAAATATTTATAAAAACGTTATTTTTATAAAATAAAAATTCTACTGACTTGTAATGGAGATGGATCTTTTATAATCCGCTGAAAAAAAAAGAAATATTAATTTTTTTTTTAATTATTCTACTACCGTAAGTAGGTAAGTACTGAATAAAAATAATAATGGAAAATACTGAATTTCTGTAATTTGTTATAAACAGCGTGAATACAAAATAGTTACTTAACACATCTGTTGAAACAACTACAATGACACATGATACTATAAACCAAAAGAGTTTCATTTTTATCTGTAAAAAATAATAAATTTAAGGATAGTATTAGCTATTTGAATCTATGTTTTGGTAAAAAAAAAATATAAGTAAACGTCGTTAATTGACACTTAAAAAAATATGAGAAAGTCCTTTAAGTTTTTGAGTAGGACTGAGTAATTGTTTTTACCACACTCTTAAATAAATATATGGTATAATAAACTGTAATTACCACTCATTTTTTAAACATTAATTTGTTAAATTATAACATTTATAATTTTATTTTAACTTTATACATTATTAAAAATTAAAAATTAAAAATTTCGACATAATATTTATTTAAATCGGTGAGTTAGTCGTTTTGCTGCAGAGCATCAGTCGTGTCTTATGAAGTATCTAAGTTTTTAAGAGCATCTACTTAAGTTTCAGAGTATCTTTAAAGTTATTTGTAAATTGTGTACATAACCATTTTGTTTTAAATTGTTTATTTGTGTTAATTCATAATATAGTTAGTCGCGTGACAGCAGAGCATCCGTCTTGTCTAATGAATTACAGTTGTGTTTTCAGAGTATCTAATAAGTTATTTGTAAATTGTTCACATTAAGTTTGAACTTATTATCCATAGGAACGCATCGAAGCGTTCATTTAAAAGCGATTTTAACACTGTCCTGTAACCTTTTCGGCCCCACAGTGCTCCATTCTTTATTTTAAAGCATAGAGGGGACGAGAGATGTCATAGGTCTAGTGTCTACAGAAATTATTATTAATACAAGTGATAAATTGCTTTTGTATAAACGCTTTGATGCTGATTTTTAAACACTACATCTCACTTTAATTCTTACTTTCTGTGTTGGTTTATACCGGAGTTGGTTTGGACTTAACTAGTTTGAAAATACTAACTTCTGATTCGCATTGACGCGTTTATTCGAAAATGATTTTATCACTTTCAGTTGTAATAATTGCTGTAAACCTGTAACCTCCCCGTGCCCACTATGCCCCGACCTCATTGTACTGGCTTTTTAGTTACTTAAATGAAATTAACTCAATCCGCAAAAATAGGAGTTCTGTTAAAATCAACTTTATATAATAAAAATAACGATGAAAATAATTCGTCTATATTTTAAACATGTTAATGTTTAGAAATATTATCATAGCAGTACGTAATATATTTATTTTTTAAAATTTTATTAAAATACGTATTTGTACTATAATGACTATGGTTTAACGATTCAATTTTACCCTATTCTTAACCCGAAAACTAAATCTAATAAAAATATATTAAAGGCATACTTACAATGCTTGTTATTAGGTCGAACGGTACAGCAAAACTAAACGTACTATGCAGAGTTGTCCATGAAAATGTATTAACTTCAAGCAGGATTGTTTTGTTCGGTATGTTTTCTTATTTACATTACTCTGACGTAGTTTGAACTTCTGTTGTTGTGAACATTTAGTTGCAAAAACATGTTTTTGTTAAAATGCCAAGAGTACCTAGCTACAAGAAACGATTGTAGAGCATATTAAAAACCGTTTTACAGAAAACATTACTATATTCTGATATAGACGACAAGTTTTGTTCACGATTCGTATTAGTTGCCCTCCCACCACAAATAATAAATTTTGTTACACTCCAAAAAGCTTTTATATGTTAAACTATTCAGGGGGGAAACCAAATTACTTTGTAATTAAAAAAATGTGCTAAAGAAATGACTTGTTACACATGTATATCTTGTTTTCTAGTTGACTATTAGCTATTGTGTAAACAGAATATTTAACTATAATTAAAAGATTCTAAATGTTTTTTTGAATAACTTAAGGTCCTTGAGTTTTATCATAAACTATTTTAAGTATAGTATATTAATACTACTTGTACTTTACATTTTAGCTTAAATTTCTGTGTTTTACAAAGCAAAATCTACATAAAAAATAACAAATTATATGATTTGTTCTTTATCAAAAATAAGGTTGTTTTTTGAAAGGTATTCTGTTTTGTTAACAAAATAAAAATACTAAAAAAACTATAACTATATACTGGATCTGGGGCCCACGAATTTCTGGCTAGAATTTATCATATAGATTATATTATGCCTGTTGTATACACCTATCTACCAATAAAGACAATATTCACCGACTAAGTAATATTGTATATTATTATCTAATCTATTCAAACTATTGGTTTTTACTATAACTAGTATATCATGTGTTCTTCGTAGCGCTATTGTGGTTTATTTTAATACGTAGGGTTTACCACCATTACCAAGCCTTCGTATGGTGTTTTTAAGTATACATGTTTTGCCAAACTATCTACACAATTGTCATGAACAAATAAAGAAACAAAAAAAAAAACAGGGTGAAACGCATATACTACCTACCAAAGCTACGTATGTGAGCTACAAGAAAAAAATGGTTTAAAATGTTTTAATACAATTGAGCTAATTTTAAAGAAATACCATATAATATTGTGTTGAGTTTAGCTGTAAAATTCCTTCTGATATTTATTTCATTTTAAATTTGTATAAAATCCGTTTTAAAGTAAAATGTTCAATTGTTTATTGTTTGTTAATATATTTTTTTATGATACATAGGCCATAGCTGTTTAAAAAAATGGTTTACGATTTTCGAAGATCTTGTTATTGTAATAGGATCGCAGCACATGTTCTTTTATTATTTATTTTCAGACTTAAATACTACTACTATACTACACATAAAAAAGTGACCAAATTAAAAAAAAATCTACTCTTTCTAGGAATTTTGAATTAATGAATTAATAAATAATTTACCTCTAGTAAAAACGACCATAGTAATCAAAATAGTTGAGAGTTGTTTGTAAAATTAAGATATTTTCCTTACTTTTTTACCCTTCTGTAAATGTTTAGATCTTTTAGCTTCGATGCAAAGCGAGAAGGTATTGGTTTTACTCTGATGTGTGTTTTTTTTTTATCTGTATACGCTGTAACTTTTTTAATACTGGACCAACTCCTTCGAGTAACAACTCTATAAATCGCAAATTTCATCTAGTTGGTACTTTGGGGTGGTAAAAGTTGAAAAAGTTTAATTCTTCACAGACGAAAGTTGAAAAACAAAAAAAAAACCGTACGAGTTTTTAAGTTAGAACTTTACTGGCTATAATTTCGAGAAAAAGAGTCGGATCGAGTTGAAATGTATAAGAAATAAATATTTGGTATGCCCGCACACGTCAGTTGTGTCAAACTTAAACTATACCCATTTCCCACCCCCCTAGGAGGAACACAAGTTTTTTTGTTTTTCGGGGTTTTTAGCCGTAATTTTAAAACTTTGAAAGTGATTTTATCCGAGAGGACTAGTACAGTAGAGTATTGGCTTAATGTAATCAAAGCAATGAGGAAACGGTGAGGTCACAGGTCTACAAGAATTATTATAAATAAAAGTGATAAAATTCAATAAAATCGCCTTTAAAGAAACGCTTTGATGCTCATTTGTAAATACAGAACCTTAATTTAAACTTTCTTACTTTGCTGGTTATACTGCGCTTGGTTTGCACATTAAATTAATATTTATGTATTATATACTTCCATTAAAGCAATCTCACACAAACTATTTATACTTCATAGGTTATATTATTTCAAAGCTGTATTAAACTTCTATTTTACTAGATTGACAATGTACAAAAGAAAATGCAACTAAAAAAAACCTTTTCATAGATCCTTAAAATGTAAAAGGTGGGATAGTGAAAAGGATTTTCCCATTTTAATACATTAGAAAAACGCCGTTTTGCTGCCCCATCCTGTATATTAACTTCTTGTTATTTTCTAAAGAAAAATTGATTTTCTTACATTTAAATTAAAATAAATCGTATACTGGTACTGTGATGGAGAAAATAATAAATTTTACCTACATATATTACTTATTAGTTAAATATTACTAACGTGTGTAGCCATTAGCGGTCGGCTGTTGCCTGTTATTTAACAATAACCTTTTATGGAGATTTTAAAAATTGTGTTTTTTAATAATAGTATAGGAGCAGTAACATGATGTTAAATGTTCACGAGATTTGATCTAGTCATAAAATAAAGTACTATCATTCATGACTTTTAAATACTATTAAAATATATCTTAACTTGAACACAGTTATAAAATAATTAAATATTTTATACAAAATTAGAGCTACAAAATTATAAACTTAAAAATTAAAACTAGCACGAAGCAGATTACATTTCTTATATAAATAAATTTAAACAATCAAGCGTGAATCTCTTTAAATGAATAACAGTATAACAATATGCAAAACAATAGTTTTCCTTTAAAAAAATTGTGTAATAAAAAATACATTTTGGGACGGTATACTGCATAAAAACCAACACTTAATCTGAATCCAAAAACAACAGTCCTCTCATAATTTGCAGGTAGTTGGACCTTATATACTCATAGTTGACCTTCGGTAAGGTAATATAACGCAGGCCATAAAATAACGAGATAACGACAGTGGTTTTATTGTATCAGAATCATTAAGTGTCTTAATAAGTACATGGATAGGTTTTTTCCCCAATAAATCTTGTGTATACTATAATCAGTTACAAGATTAAGTCGTCTGTGATATCATGTAATAAATACAATATTATGATAACGACCATGGGCCCTAACCTAATCTAACACGGATAGACGTTACCAAAAAAAATTGAATTTGTGTAAACTTAAAGTCAAAAGTGGTAATTGAGCACAAAACTTAATAGTATCATTCTGCATAGATATACATAAAATTGTTTTAATGATTTGATCAATTTTTTTTAAAGATTTTAGGTGTTTTTGTTAAAATATACGCAATCTGCGAAAACACAGTTTTCCGGCAATTAAAAAAAAACTGTAGTGCCGAATTTTTCACCCGTTTAATATGTTATGGATACATATGAGTTCCGACTACTGGCAAATTTTCAACCTAAAAGTTTTAAAATTACGGCTAAAAACCCCGAAAAACAAAAAAATTGTACCCCCCCTAGGAGGGTGGGAAATGGGTATAGTTTGTACAAGATTAAGTCGTCTGTGATATCATGTAATAAATACAA